CAAAATTAATACAGGTCATAAGAAATTGGAGTCGAATCTCTTCCACATTACGAAACTCATTCCTGTTCCGACATAAGAAGAAATTCGATATGTAACTCCTAATATGAAATTATAATTTAGCGAAAATTTCGGAGGAAATTTTCTGGCCTAGGGGGGGAGATGTAAAGAAATAAGATCTCTTTAATATGTTACTATTCTAAATTCTTTATATTAAATTTGAATTGAGGCGCTGTCAGACAGATGAGTGTCATAGTGTAAAACATTTTTAAATGTGAAATTGTAAAAATTAATAATTTTATTTGTAAAAAGGATTCGACAAAACCTGGCAATAACTTTTAATGTCGTTTCTTTGTATTTCAGGTAAGATAGTAATTTGTGTTTCAACATTTATTTATAGTATATAATAGGTTGTTTCTCGTTGTAAACTTACGCTTACAATAAATCTTTGTATTTCAGAGCAACACATAAGTTTAATTTTTGCCGGTTCTTAAAAATCCCGACTTATAGTCTTATATATATAACTATCATTATATTAAAATTAAAAATTGAAGTTCTCTTTTATTACGTAAGTATGGAATAGATAGATTAACCGTTAAAACGTACCATAGTTTTTTTAAATAAATATGAATTTTATGTGATTCTTTAAATTGACATAACTTTTTTATTTAAGAACCGATTGGAATAAAAAAATACTAAATGTTAAGTAAAGCTTAATACAATACATTAGTGAAAACAGTACCAAAATCGGTTAAGCCGTTTCTGAGATTAGCGCGCACAAAAGGACAGACAAATAGACAAAAAATCTAAAAATTATTGTTTGAGGTTTGATTGCGTTAATAAACAGCCCCAATAATAGTTTTTCTCAAATATCTTCCGTGTACAGACAACGATCGATTAAGCTTTTATTATATGTATAGATTTGTTTTGCAAAATCGTGTTCTATAAGTATAAAATATAGTTTTACTTAAACCTACCTTTTTAGAGCTTTTTTCGTAGTTTTAGCGCGAGCAAAGCCGCGGGTTCTGTTAGATAATGATATTCTAAACTTAATTAATTCCACCATAATGTGTAACCATATTCTACAACGATTAACTACTTTATAAAACGGCTGTTTTATCTAAAACACCTTAGGAACGTGTAGCTGGATTGTCATGGTTTTTAGATTTGGCGATAGACCCGACTCGTACATATTAAGAATTTTTTTCCTTCTTATGATCCTCACCTAGGTCCTTCACCTTTTTTCTTGAACCTAGACACTTATCCCACACAGTGTTGTATGTTATTATTAAATTGCCTTCTTACTAACTTGCCTTCGTCATTTTACATAATAGTATGCATATTTTGTAAACTGGCTGAGAACATTTATACAATTAACATGTAAAATTGACGATTCAAAAGTGATTGTTTGTAAAAGTTTATTTGAGTAAAGTATACACACATATTTTAATTTGACACTACAATATATATATATACTAGCGGACCCGACAGACGTTGTCCTGTCTACACGTCTTTAATTTGAAAATTTCAAACTTTTTTTAATAATTTTTTTGATGAAAATTATTATTCAAATTGTGAATCTAAACCATTCCCAGATCCCCTTGAACACACAAAAAATTTCATCAAAATCGGTCCAGTCGTTTGAGAGAAGTTCAGTGACATACACACTCACAGAAGAATTATATATATAAAGATATATATATATATCGTGTTATCCATATACTACGAACATCATCTTTGGTGGTTACTCATTTTGTGGGCGTTATCAGGGCTCAAATAATAAAAGTATTCAGTGCTCAATACATAATTTAATCAGGGTCACAATGTTATAAACTTGAAACGGTAATTCTAATGATTTAGAGCTAGCGGGTTCACAGTCACCGATCATCGACTTCCAACTACAATATCAAACATAACTCTCTATGATCCACCATGATCAACCAACGTTACTAAGCCACGTATCTCCAAAGAATGAATGTCGTGATGGCGTCTCGACCCCGCTCGAGACTAACCCCCATATTCTTACACCCATATTCTTAGTTGTTACCTCGAAACTCCCTCGACTCAAACTCGACTGAGGCGTGTTCGAGGAAGGCCTCAAACGATCCTCGAAATCGGTATTCATAAACATACCCCCATATTCTTAGTCGTAAACTCGAGATTTCCTCGACTCGACTCAACCTCACTGAGGTGGTTCGGTATTCATAGACGTTATTTTGTCCCTTACCTCAACTATTCGCCTCGAGTAAGGTGAGGAAAACTCGAGGACCGAACTGTCAAATGTAAGGTACCTCGCGATCTACCTTGAGGAAACCTCGAGACAATTATTGATAAAAACATCGTGAATTATTTAACATTTTATTACATTTTAAAGTTATTTTTGTGTTTAAAATGTCTTTTGAAAAGTTTATTGAGCATATCGATGACAATACCTACGATTATTATTTATCACGGCGCTATTTTCGGAATGCAAGTAATCCTATGGAGTTCTATGACGAATGTGATTTTAAAAAGAGATTTCTCTTTACGACGAGATTACTTTTGCCAATTTTATTTCAAAACAATAGTGGTGGTAACAGGCGTGGATTGCCTATTTCAATGATATTTTATATGATAATTAGGTATACTGTGTAAATCTAGTTTACTAAATAAAATAATGTGCAATCTAATTTAATTTCTTTAATTCAGATAATTTTGGCACTGCTTTTTCTTTCTTCATCTTATTATAGAGAAGGAATAACGTATAATAAAACAGTAATATATGATAATGAAAATAGTTATAGCGAGTGTACCTTAGGAGATGACATATACTATGTAGAACTTTTTTATAGACTTTTTTAAGACTTACAATTTTCTTGCACAATGTTTTGATCTATCTCTTAAGGTTGAGCCAACGTTAGCCATATAAATTTCTACGGACGATTCGATAGAACCAGTTATTGTGTTTTCCCGTGGGAATGAATAATTTGCCTGCCGTAAAAGGTATCCTAAATGTTGACCCGAGTACTAAGTTTTATCACTATACAAAATTTAGTTAGAATCGGTTGAGTACTTTTTGCGTGAAACGCGCACATCGATTTGACTAAAATATTTTTATTATCCGTATAGATAAGAATAAAGATTGCGAGTGTAACTTAGGAGATAGACATATACAATTCAGAACTTTTCTGTAGGACTTTTCAAGACCTACAATTTTTTAGTATATTGTTTTGATGTATGTAAGTCTTAAGGCTTAGCCAGCGGAAAGTTTCTAGGACTCGATAAAACCAGTTATCGTATTTTCCCGTGGGAAAGAAAGATTTTCTTGAAGTAAAAGGTATCTAGGCAGTTGTATCCCAGTGGTAACGCGCTCGTTTGGGAAACCGAGTGAAGCAAGTTCAAATCCCGGATCACGCACCTCTGATATTTTTATGTGCGAATCATTTCTAACACAATTATCACTTGTCTTAACGGTGAATTAAAACATCGTGAGGAAACCTGCATGTCCGTCAACCTGCACTTGGCCAGAGTGGTGGACTATGGCCTGATCCCCCTCGTACTGAAGGGAGGCCCGTGCCCAGCATTGGGACGTTAAAAAGGGTATTGTACTGAAAATATACATAATACATACAAAAGGGATCCTAAATGTTGACTCGAGTAATAGTAGTAAGTTATCACTTCACCAAATTTCGTTGAAATCGGTACATTACTTTTCGCGTGAAACGCTCACGCAAAAACAGACAAACAGAAATACAGGCAAACAGACAGACATTTTTTTTAATAACTATTGTTTTGGGGTCTATGTTGTGTACATAATACGTTACAAATACACAAAAACATCTATCCCAAAGGGAACAGTACATTTTTCCGGGATAAAAGGTAACCTATTTGTTATTCTAATGTATGAACTATATATATTATTGTAAAGTTTCATCAAAATCCAATCAGTAGTGTTTGTGTACTAAGCTGTATAAGTTACTGTAGTTTTTGATTATCCCACGGAAACTCTTTAATTTTCCGGGATGAAAAATAGCTGATTTGTTTTTGTCATGTATGAACTATATTATTGTAAAGTTTCATTAAAATCCAATTAGTAGTTTTTGTGTACTAAGCTGTATAAATTTTTATAGTTTTTTAACTATCCCACGAGAACTATTTAATTTTCTGGGATAAAAAGTATCTAAGATGTTGCCCGGGGATATAAGGTACACCCATGCAAAATTTCATTTAAATCGGTCCAATAGATTTGGAGATTAGCCCGTACAAACAGAAAAACTGACCACTCGGGTTCGTCCATACCTACGAATATGTTGTATTATCTCTTTAACCATTTGTCCAAATTGTATGCAGTAAAAGGGAAAAGTCTTTTGTTTTAAACAGTTTAGACGATAAATTTACTTATTTTAATAAGAATTCATAATTGTTGATAATATGACCAATAAACATGACCTACCGATTTAAATGATTTTTTTAATATAAAAAACTACTTTTTGTGACTTAAATATAAAAGTTAGACATATGCTGTTGCTGACTTTTTTGTAGGCTTTTTTTGTAAGCTCTACAACTTTTCTCTAGATCATAATCATATATCTCTCATCGTTAAGGCAGCGTTCGTAAGAAACGTTTTCGTTCGACCGTTTTTTCTCCGACTTACTTTGCAAATCCGACTACCACGAAAAAGCCTTTTCATTTTTCGGGTTAATATATAGCCTATGACACTCAGAAAGAACGTGGCTTTCTATTGGTAAAAGAATTTGGAAAATCGGTTCAGTAGATCCAGAGATTAACCCCTACAACGTCACAAACTCACAAACTCACAAGATCACAAACTTTACCTCTTTATAATATTAGTATATATATATATATATATATATATATATATATATATATATATATATATATATTTATTTATTTGCGAAACATATACTTTGAAGTTTGTTTTTTAAATATGTATTGTCATAATAGCATACTTACAAAATATTTTTGGATAGGTACCAATTTTTTTTGCTATTGTTTTATTTCAGGCGTAACGCAGGAGCTGCACCTGGCTTTGCAACGAAAACGTTTCTGGGCGTCACTGCCGGTTCTATAGGAGCTTTCGTCGGCACGCCCGCTGAGGTAATTACTTAAATAAATAAAAATAATATGTTGGGACATTAATCCTTGCACGACCGCCGACACGCCGGCGTGTCAGTTAACAATAGATTTCTTACAAATTTACCTGGAGGTGTTAACACACAGCACCATCTAGTTTCATTGTAAGCTACGAGGCTTGTGTTATGGATACCAGATAGTTGATACACTACACATATATAACTTTAAATACATACATATTATAAATAAACAGTCATGACTGGAGTACAAACATTCGTGGTCTACAAAGTTATTTATCTATACATATAATGAAATCCCGCTCCCCGCCCCCAGTGGGACTCGAACCCGCGACCGCTGGTACAGCAAGTAGGGTCACTAGTCACTACAAACTGAGCCAAATGTCTCGTCAACTTATCTATATGGTTAAATTAAATGAGTTGAACAGGTATTAATGATTTTTTATATGGTTTTTCGATTGCAGAATATATAAAAATGAATGTATGAGATTGCTATGGTATTTATCCTCGCTTGTTTGGATTTATACTACTATTCTAGGTACCTTGCAGTATCCTATGTGCTACTCACGGTCATAGTCCAACTGGGTACCTACTATATTTCATCTAAATATAATTAGTTGTTTCGGTGTGAAGAAAAAATTAACATCCACGCACAGATGTTACAGGTATAGATGTTGATTTGTATCCGCTGGCACCGATTTCGAAAATATCTGGTTAGGTTTTTATGGAAATTATATGTTACTAGCGATTCATCCTCGTTCCACTCGGGTTCGTCCCTAGTTACGTTTTAACGTTTAGTATAGATTTCTCACAGATGAGATATTTTCCCGCTGTAAAAAGTATCCTATATGTTGACCCTGATAACTAGCTTTTCCATGTGTAGTTGTACCGTGATGCAGTCACAAACAGAGACAAAAATTCTAAATATGTACTACAGATTCGGTCTCTGTATCAATAATTTATTTCAATAAGATTTTCCATAAAATATTTAATGTATAGATTTGACTCCGTTACAATTTTATTTTAGATGTGTTTTTCCCTATTCAATTTTTTATATCCGAATAACTTTATACTAAAAATCGTTGAACTTACATGGGTGTTAAATCTACAGGTACTGAGGTCCTCGAACTCCCTGCCAGCTTTGATCCAATAGTCATGTTACACACTGTTTATCATAGTAAATATATTATGTATTAAAAAAATATTACAATTTATTTTCAGGTAGCTCTCATCCGTATGACCGCTGATGGTAGATTACCGAAGGAGCAACGAAGAAATTATAAAAACGTTTTAGATGCACTTTTAAGGTAATTTACTCATACGATATAAGACCACAGTCTCCAAGTTCTCTAATCCATCTATCTATTCAGCCCTTTTTAACGTCCCACTAGGGCACTAGCTTCTCTTCAACACGAGGGGGATCTGGCCATAGCCCACCACGCTGGCCAAGTGCGGGTTGGCGGACTTCACGTCTTTCGAAAACTTGCTTGGTTCTCTCATTCATTCTCATTCCTCACGATGTTTCCCTGCTGTTGATCTTCTGATGATTGCTTGTTTACACGATCAAAGTAGTCATCAGAACTACTTTGTCAAAGTAGACTTTGATAGTGTCAACACGGCTAAGTATTTTAGGTGGTGTTGAAGTTGGTGTGCCTTTTTTCTAAAAAAAACTAATTATATTACTTACTAATACATTATTATTTATTTTATAATAGGATAGTTCGTGAAGAGGGTGTTTTGAAACTATGGCGTGGAGCCACGCCCACTGTGGGGCGCGCCATGGTCGTCAATGCCGCACAGCTCAGTACTTACTCGCAGGTAAAATAGAATACTATTATTGATTCATTCATTCATTCATTCATTCATTCATTCATTCATTCATGCATTCATTTATTTATTTATCAAACAGGCCTCTCCACTTAGTATACTAAATAATAATACCAGTTTTATTATTTATATAAACACTTAAGTAGTAAAATATACGAATTAAGCTCGACCTTCACCCATCTGCCTACTGGATGAAAATTATATTTTATCAAATGAAATATGTTGCTGGACATATACCAATAGGGTTGCCATTAAAAATGTTATGTTCTGTACACAATATCTTAGTAATTGTTTTAAAAAAAAATTGTCACTCATTATATAAAGGTTTCGCTAAGTTACTATTTTATTATTTGTATAGATAAATATATAATTAAACGATTTAATACTTTCTTAGATTTACGCGAATGTTTGACATTTTTAAATAAAACTATCTTTTCGGATTATTTCGCGGATTTATTTTGATTTTTTGTTCCCGACGTTTCGAATGCTTTACAGCATCCATGGTCACGGGAGAGAGTCTCTCTAAGATAGTTTTATTTAAAAATTAAACGATTTGTTTCCAGGCGAGGGAAGTGTTTGTGGCATACGTTCCTGACGGTATATTCCTGCACTTCTGCGCCTCCATGGTGTCTGGTCTGGTCACCACCATCGCTTCTATGCCTGTCGATATCATAAAGACTCGGTGAGATATTTAAATAAAATGTTTTTAACCGACATAAAAGGAGGACGTTATGTATTTGACACGTATTTTTTTTACCGCGAGTGACTTTTTACACTGTAGTCCGATACTGATTCTTTTTTTAATGGATAGGTTTGTCAAAGTTGGTTCCATTGAAATTTGAAAAAAATATCTATCAATAAGTGTAGAAATTTGACGACACGTTTGGCTCAGTTTGTAGTGACCCTACTTGCTGTGCCAGCAGTCGCGGGTTCTAGTCCCGCTGGTGGCATTCATTTGTGTGATGAGCACGAATGTTTGTGCTCCAGTCATGGGTGTTTGTATTTATAATATGTATGTATTTAAAGTTATATATGTGTAATGTATCAACTATCTGGTATCCATAACACAGGCCTCGTAGCATAACATGAAAGTAGATGGTGCTGTGTGTTAATGTCCTAACATATATAAAAAAAATAGGGGGATGATTGATTTTTCACCTACTGATCCGTATTATTAATATAAATGTGAAAGTTTGTGAGTATGTATGGATGTTTGTTACTCTTTCACGCCATAGGTTTGATTTGATTTTCTTAGAGGCGAACCCGAGCGAGGCGAGGGTGAGCCGCTAGTTTTCTATAATTCTTTCTTCTTACTTTGTTACTAATATATCTACATTAAAAATGCAAAAATAAAAACTTAAAAAAACGGACTTTGAAAAGTAAAAAAATATGTAACTGATTGATAGTTTTCATTTACTATAACTACCTAAGTTTCAAAGTTGGTGTGCTTTGAATTGTATCGGTTAGCACTGACTTCGAAAATGTATCTATGGAAATTACATGTAACTAGCGACTCGCCCTCGCTCAGCTCGGGTTCGTCCCTACATACGTATTAACGTTTAGTATAGATTTCTCAGATATGAGATATTTTTCCGCAGTAAAAAGTATCCTATATGTTGACCCGGATAACCAGCTATCATCATACCAAATTTTATCAAAATCTGTCCAGTGGTTTTTTCGTGATGCGGTCACAGACTAGACAGACAGACAGAGAAAAATTCTAAAAACTATAGATTCGTCCTCTGTATCGATAATAATGTCTATTTCAATAAGATTTTTCAAAAAATATTTAATGTACAGAATCGGCTTACCTACTATTTTATTATATATAGATTGAAATTTTCAAAGTACGAGACATAGCGTTTGTTGAATAATTCATTATTTTTTTTTGTTTTTTTTTTCAGAATACAAAACGCAGCCAAAGGCCAATCCCAATTGAGTGTAGTGACCAATCTAATAAAGAATGAAGGAGTTTTCTCACTGTGGAAGGGCTTCCTCCCATACTACGCTCGTCTCGGTCCCCACACAGTACTTACGTTCATATTCCTCGAGCAAATGAACGCTGCCTACTTCAAATATATGTAAAAGGTAAATATTATTTCGTTATTTAAATATATTTAGGTACACTTTATTGGTTAGGTTAGGTTAGATAATATGGAATAGATAAATTTTATCCATACTTAATATTATTAATGTGAAAGTGTGTTTGTTTGTTTGTTTGTCCTTCTTTCGCGCCGAAACAGAGTGACGGCTGGCGTGATTTTTTGTGTGGAGATAGTTGGAGGGTTGGTGAGTGACATAGGCCACTTTTTACCGCGGGAGATTATCTAATTCCCACGGGAAAATACGTTATAATACAATACAAAAAAATATGATCAGAATTACTTGAAATTTGGCATTAATGCTCTTCAATACAATTAAATACATCTTTTAGCATTTTTCGAAATTCATCCCACAAGGGGGTAAAATAGGGGATAAAAATGTATATGAAACCTACCTTTTTAGAGATTTTTTTTGTAGTTTTAGCGCGAGCGAAGCCGCGGGTTCTGCTAATATTCGTATATATACATATGCGTTTGATATCCCTTACTTGAGAGAAATGATTGATTTTCCATACAAACTTTCATTCCCCTTTTACTATACGATAAAAACTATCCTATGTCCTTTCCCAGGGTCTTAAACCATCTTCATACCAAATTTCATGTTAATCTGTTCAGCGGATTTTTAGTTTATCAGTTACTAACATACATACAAATGTACAAAAAATTTTTTTCAGAATTTTTTTGAATTTAAAGAAAAAGAGGTACAATTTTTTTATTTAATACTACTGCTGTTGTTGTTTGCTTTACTATAATATAGAAAGCTGGGCTCGGAAACACGTTTAATTTTTAAACTGGTTTTGATCATTGACCCCAAACCGAAAGGCTTTTCGGTTTAAAGATCCGATTACGTTCTTTAACCGATTCAAAACCCGAAACAAGGTTTTTGACAAATTTAGGTTCCGTGATCGAAATTAATCGGTTAAAATGAGTTGTAGTGTAGTGTGCATTTTTGGCGGATTTTTGGAATAGTCGATTGCTTAGTAGAAGGATACACGTACGTTTCTTACTTATGAATGGATTAACCAGTTTAATTTGGTAACAAAACCGAAATCCACCAACCTTTCTTTAAGTATAACCGTTAACCATTATTATTTCTATTTACTAAACTGTTAGTTTTCCTTAACCTGTTGAAGAACAATTACCGAAATAATCCGGTTTTTTAAACCGGTTCCGAGTCCTGGATGAAGGAAAAGACAATTTTTAAACGATTTTATATAAAGAGCTCGAAACCAATTCGAGTGTATGATTTTTTTTGGTTTTTTACGCCATCTTAATGATTCTTTTTTAATGAATACGTTATATTTTGACCTCAAGAGAAATATAAATTTCTCACAGAGATAGGTTATAGTCTGGAGTAGCATATAGTCTTTTTATTTACTTTTTATCCCGGAAAAATGTACGGCTCCCGCGGGATAGATTTGTTTTCATATTTGATAAATTTATAATTTATTTAGGTTGATCCAGAAGGACACCCGGGAGTGATTATACTAAATCTATTGGTTAAAGAATTTGTATTTCATTTAAGTCGGTCACCATTAACTTTTTTTTATTATCGTACGATAATAATTATTTTTTATATTTTTTTTTCATTTCAGGTGATCGTGGATATGAATGTTGTGAAATGGTCAAGATAGATACATGATAAAGATAAAGAGCTTATACCACACGGTTTATTTTAAAATATTTGCTCTCATTTATACAATATAATATATTTACTTATGTACATACAATGAAAGTTTTTTATCTGTAGATCGATTTTTGACAGCTGACGTTTGGTCGCCATTTTGCTTTGTTTTTTATGGAGTTAAATTTTTATGAGATTATTGTATTGATATTTATAATTAGTTCATTTCAATCATTGAGACTTTTAAGCACAAACATTTTATTTTGATTTGTTTTAAATGAAAAGAAAATTTATGATAAAATTAGCTAAAAATGACAATAAATACACAATATACATTTATTTATATACATGGGCGGTGGCAGAGTTATTTCAAGGGGGATACAGATCTGCTTCTTTACATTAAACTACGGACTAATTTTTAAATGATTAACCTTTTAATTTTTTTCATATCTTATTTAACATCTTTTTTCGCAGATATCTAAATTTAAACAGAGATTTTACTAATACAATTTTATTTCTATAACTTTTTCTATATGTTTTCCTTGATGCCCTCTTGCTTGCACCCCCATCCCGGCGCCCATGTTTATATATCTCATTTTCAATTACTTCAAAAGTATACTAACACATTTAATTAATGTCTTTGAAGCGATATGAAAGTTTGTATTGTATTAATAATACATTTAAACTTTAGTTATATTTAGATGTCGGTCATTTAATTTTTAATCTTTTAATTAAGATTAATGTCATCAATAGTTATAATATAATAAAAGCACAAAAATATATGAAACTTGTCTTCAGCTAGAACCATGTCAGTGCCAAATAAATGTATTCCGTTATCTCGCTTGCTTTTAATTACATTTGCTGTAATGTACAAATTAGTATAAGTTATAATGAAAAATATATATATCTTGTACTGATAAAGAATGGGATTAGAGCATATATTGTTTAAGTGATATTAAGTGATATACTAAAAATATAAATTGATACTCTTATGTTGGCTGTGAAGCATTTGAAACTGCGTACGCAAAAAAATAAAATTCAAATTAAAACCGTGAAAAAAAATGTTTTTTTTTTTAATATAGAATAATATTTTCTTTACATACATATATACGTTGTTCTTAAAGGTTGCGTGTAAAATTACATGATTTTATTCAAAAGTGATAGTTAATTTTTATATATAATTTGGTAACGTTCTAGATCGTTTAAAATCTTCCAAAAAAATTTCTTCAATAATTTAATTTAACGTTATTTTCTTAGATTTACGCGAATATTTGAGATTTTAAATAAAACTATCTTTTGGGATTTTTTTTGTTGCGGATTGATTTTGGTTTTTAACCTCGGGAACCAAAAATCTAAATAAATCACGAAAAAAAATTCCAAAAGATTTAACGTTATTTATTCGAAATAAAATTGATCATGAAATAAATTAAACTTATAACGTGAATAATATCAAGATAATAAAAATATATAATATAAGCAACTTATCCCATTTTTTATTTGCACGAGTTATTTTTTTTAGCTTAGATATATTTCCTATTTCACGTTATATAATCTGTGTCAATATTGTAAATTGAATATGTTTAGTGTTTAGACTGAGTGTGGCTTTTTGTTCAGATTTTTATTATATTAATTTTTTACGTTTTTAGTTATTTACAAGAAAGCTCGTACATTGATTGGCGTTGTATTCGTTGCGTATCTCATTAGCCCGCATTTTTTTACTTAAAGTCATAAGCTTAGCGTTTACGGTACTCGTATATTATTTATTAGACGATTTGAAAGTGAAAATAAAAAAAATGTTAATATTTGAAAAAAATATAAAGAAAATTGTTGAAATGTAAATGCTGTCATGTGTTCACGTGCGTCCATGAGCTGTTTTATATAACATATGATTCCACATATATTTTTAGAGGCAATTTTGTAATTAACATAATTTATTGTTGCTATTAAAGTTTGTTATGAAATATTTTTTGTGTTTTTTCGTATTTTTTTTTGTTTTATACCCTAAAGTAAGAAGAAAGTAAGAAATTGAAATAAATTACTACAGATGACATAACTAAATTTCCATTAAATGACGTTAGCCTTAACCATGAACAAAGAAAAAAAATATTCTACACAATGACGTAACTCTACTGTCACAATGTCCATAAATTGTAAGTTAAAAGTTTTAGGTGAAATAATATATTTTTAAATTAATTTATAAAAGAAAAAGCATTCATGATCAAGCGATGTCGCAAAAAATGTCTCGACGAAGAAAAAAGTGCCGTGGTATGTTGCTATGGCATTAGGTGGAGTTTCTGGGTAAATGAACTGTTTTTGCTTATTAGATTTATTTAAATATTAGTAACTTACCCTCGCTTGACTTGGGTTCTTCTCTAGACGAATAAAACTATAACATAAAACGTTTTGTAACTAACTGTTCAACGATTTGATGATGGAGCTAGAATATGGATAGTAAAGCTCTTTAAAAGCTAACAAGTTAATATGTAGTTTGTTTGGGCCTAATTTTATTCATTTTGACAAGTCCCAAACTTCATCTGTATGTCCACCAGTTGAATATTATTAAAAAGAAAAATGTATTTTATGGTAATACATAGTTTGCATATCTAAAACTAAAGAAATTCTCTCAGAAGTCGATGTTGTGCGAACCAGTCGCTGATTACGTCTCTTATTAACGATTAGGTACGTCTCCACACAAATTCTTATTAATTGGGAGCTAGGTTCTTTCCCCAAAAACATCGTTTGTGATATTTAAAATTAAATATAATATTGACAAGGAAAGTGAATACTTTCTTAGATTTACGCGAATATTTGACATTTTAAATAAAACTATCTTTTCGGATTATTTCGCGTCACGGGAGAGAGACTCTCCCGTGACCATGGATGCTGTAAAGCATTCGAAATGTCGGGAACCAAAAATCAAAATAAATCCGCGAAATAATCCGAAAAGATAGTTTTATTTAAAAGGAAAGTGGATAAAAATTTCCAGTATATAGTAGCGACGACCGTGGTACACCCTTTGGACTTGATCAAAGTGCGCCTTCTACTGTTCTCCCGTTCCTACACGACTCGGGAGATGGCGCGCCATCATCATAAGATGAGGAGAAATTCGAGCTTTGTACGCTGGTCTCACCGCGAGCCTGATGAGGCAGATCGTTGGTTTTTACCAGGCCATGTATAATATGTATCAAAGGTAAGCTAGGTTAAAAGAGCTCTCATATCAAATATAAATAAATACTTTATTGCACCCACAGAAAATGAAAACAGATAACAAAAAGGCATGCACAGGCGATCCTATTGCTATAAGCAATCCCTTACAGCTAACAACTGAAAGGTTATTCTTGTGGTATTTTCTTGAGAAAATTGCAATTCAAATGTAAAATTTTTTGGTGTTTTTTGGATACTGCGTCATAAATAATTGGCATAACAGGCTGTTTTTATGTTTTTATTGCCGTGGAACCGAGTCTCAGTCACAAAAAAATAGTTGGGATTTTCTGTCAACAAAAGCGGTCTGTTTAGTAGCCTGAGATTCGGAAATTGCCGGTGTGACTTTTGTGATATTTCGGAGAACCTTCAGTGTTGCAAATATTAACTGTACGGTTCATCGATCATTAAAGTACTAGATACACAATCAGCGACAAATGTGTCCTCGCCGAATGAACGCTCATTTGTACATTTGACCGTGCTTTTATTTTTATTTTTTTGTGAAAACAACTTTAAGTATCGCATTTAAGGTTCAATTTACATTGTTGTATATATATTTTAACTAGAATAATTACCTAAACACAATTGGTGACAGTTTTAAGAGAACTTTAGCGTGGGATTGTGTATCTAGTACTTTTTTGATCGATGGTATGGTCCCATCAAATTGTTGTCCAACCATACTAACAGTGTAAGAAAAAATTAAGTGCACCGGAATTAGTCGTCACATTTGTTTACTATTTATATTTAATATCGGCCCAAAAAAACTTTTCAATTAAATGTTATAAATTTACAGGGTAGTCTTCAAACCCTTATCTATACATATAATGATATTCTAAATGAGTCGAATCTATACATTAAATATTTTTTAGAAAATCTTATTGAAATAGGGATTGTTATTTGTTATCAATATAGAGGCCGAACCTATAGTTTTGACTATTTTTGTGTCTGTCTGTCTGTCTGTCTGTCTGGGAACGCATCACGAGAAAACCACTGGACATATTTTGATGAAATTTGGTATGATGATAGCTGGTTATCCAGGTCAACATTTAGGATACTTTTTGCTGCGAGAAAATATCTCATCTCTGAGAAATCTATACTAACCGTTAAAAGGGTCCTCGCGGAGCGAGGGCGAGTCGCTAGTGCCTAATAAATAAAATATTAAATTAAAATCAGTATATTCAATTAAAATCATCTATTTTATGTATATTTATGTGTGTAAAAAATATTTTTTACAATATGAAGTATAATGAATTCAAATGAAACGTGCTATATAAAACGTAGGCGCGCAGTCCGGCTTAGCACTCATAGGACTTCAATTAGTACCAGCCACCCATCGGAGAACATCGGCGCGTCCTTTACATACATTTCGTCTATTCTCAATTCACGTGTTCATAAAAAAACTAATACGATTATTTAAATTAGCTAAAATATTATCGCATAATATTATCGGTTTTATAATGGTGAAACATTAGATGCTCGATAAGTTGGAGGGGTTTCGAGCGTTCGTCCGCAGACGGACAGTGAAAATGTTTAATTTGTACCAGCACATGAAATCTGGTGAGACTAAGGAACAAAAGGAGCCTGAGACGACGGGGCATGACAGATTCTACCAGGAAAGATCACGGTCCAGCTACAGGAAGAAGAAACGTCGAGGTGCCTGCAGAAGGGCACAGTCTGCAGCGGAATTGAACCCTGAGTCTGTAGCAGCGGCGAAAAAGCGGGATGCCTTCCGCATGCGATCGGTGTCCACGGATAAAGAAGAAAGTGAAGGTATATATCGTACGTTATTATATATTATACGTTACTAACTTTATAGATACTTTACATTGATATTTATTTTTACTATACAAATTTATTCATAATTATTCGAATAATCGATTTAAAATAAAATAAAAAGCTTGAATATAAAAAATGCTTTTTGAGTATGGATAATTTTACAGTAGTAATAAAATAGTAAAATACCAATTGTTATTTCTTAAGGTCTTCTTACCTGTATGAAGTTATGCAATAGATTCATATTTTGTAAATTTTCTAAAGATTTAATTATACTTTAATAAGTACTTAATCGTTTTTCCAATCAAGTATAAATAACATTGATATGTTTGATGATAACAATATCTAATAATATTTCAAATATTATATTTGTTTGACATATTATTTTGTTAGTGAAGGAAGTGGGTCTTTTTCCTTCCTTTATTTGCTTTAGTAAGTTTTATGAAAGGTTGGTTATTATTATTATAAAAGATAAAAATATTGACTCAAATAATCATCTCCACACGTTATCTATATATATATATATGTAGGTTACAACTTATACTTATATCTCGAGAACGACTGGACCGATTTCGATGACCTTTGTTTTGTTGCATTTGTCTTCAATCCCGAATAGCAGAATAACTATTAAAAAATAGTAAAATCTCAGGAAAAAATAATAAAAAAAAAACTGTGCCATACTAAACGTCAAAACGTACCTAAGTTCTAAACGATAAGATACTTCTTTAATTATTATAAAATATTTGTTATCATTACTTTATAATTTATATTAACATACTTCTTACTTCCACACACACAAAGCATCGTTTTAAGATTTCTTAAAATTTAATATTATGTACAATGTAGGTACATAATTTCATTTAGTTACAAGTTTTAATATATAATTATCTATACATATAATAAGAGTGTAAATGATTGCTGTCTGTACATGGAATATATTTGAGTAAAACTATTATTGGGGATCTTTATTAAGGCAATAGAGCCCAAAATAATGATTTTTAGAATTTCTGTCTGTTTGTTTGTGCGTTTGTCCGCGTTAATCTCAGAAAGGGTTTAACCGAGTTTTCACTAATGTATAGTGGTAAACTTCACTTAACATTTAGATTTTGTTTTATTTCAATCGATTCATAAATAAAAAAGTTATGTCAATGCATCACCTAAGGATGAATCCGAGCGAAGCAGGGGTGAGTCGCTAGTATTAAATAAAAATAGTTCTTAGGTTATATATTTTTTATGTTCGTAGTAATGTTTTTCATCCCTCATTTTACTATATAATTACCAAACAAACCAGAGTGCCATATGAAACTATCGATTTACACACGCTTTACTCGGGTGAGTTCTTCAGTGTCCTTTGGTTTTATAATATTATACATACAGGTAGCGCTATCTTTGGACAAATGTTAATATTAACACTAGCATATTATGTGTTATTTCAGTAGTACAGTCTTTCCGTACTAAATTCCATGCAAATCTGTACAGCCGCTTCATCGAAAAGCAGTTACAAACAAACACACATACAAATTTTCCCCATTTATGATAGTAATGTGATTTCAGAGGAAAATTCCGAGAAAACTCCTCTTGTGGCGCAAAAGATTGACTCCATAGCCAAGTTGCTGTTCAACAAGTCCTTCATGGGGTCAGGCTCGGGCAAGTCTTCTCCATCGGAACCTACAGCTTCCCCTCGGTAAAAAACATAATAGTATACCTATATACAATATAATATATATTCTTCTATTTGCCTCTATTAAATAAAAAGCTTTCATAAATTATTTTGTATTATATTAACTTTCTTCTTATAGTATATTTAATGCACTTGGCTCTAGCTATCATTAGTTGTTTTGTTTATTTTTTAAAATATTTTTTTTATATTCTTCAAGTATAACACCGGCGATGATATTTCGTGAGTACTTTCAACGATATTTGTATAATATGTTTTAAGGCTCGCAGAAAGATCAATGGAGAGTGCAGTCGCTTTGGCAATATGCAATGAATACCTGTTGCATACACCCAGGTACATCTAGTGTAGTATATTTAAGCTATATTCAGTATCTTATGTACACCCGTGCCTCGGAGAGCACGTATAGCCGTCGGTCCTGCGCCGACACTCTCACCGGTCGTGTCGAACAGTCGTCCCACCGGAGTATGAGAGTGACAGGAATAGAGAGTGCACGTTGTGTCTGCGCGTACACTTGTGCACTATAATATCTCCTGTGCAGTTGGCTAGTCTCAATGAGATTGGCCGCAGTGGCCGAAATCGGTCGGGAGAACATCATTTTATGTACAAATATTTTTATTACAGTTATATTATTTTACGTTATGAGAGTTACTTTTTTACACATCTTTCAAAATATTCTTTATTAAAAAAAAAATACTTTAATTTTTTCTTAATAAAGAATATTTTCATTTAATTTGATGTTTCCTCTAATTTCTTACGAAGACTTTGCATAATTTTTTTCTTTATTCATTTTTATATGATAAAACGTTTTATATAAATAGGTTTTTAGGGTACCTCAAAAGAAAAAAAGTAACCCCTATCACTTCGTTGTCCGTCCGTCTGTCTGTAAACACCCTATATATCGGAAACTTCTTTTCTTGGAGCTGTGAAAAATAAAATTTCTTAGTCAACGCAATCAAAAGATACGGCCATTTATGCCACATATTATGTACTTTTTATGTTTTTTAGGCTTAATCTAGCTAGAGTCAAATTTGGCAAGAAATACAAACAAGTAAAGGGAAAAATTCAAAAACCGTATAGGTACTACGTTCGCAAAAAAAAATTATGCAATTATTTTAATGTTTCTTGCTACGGAACCCTCGGTATGCGAGTTGACACACACTTGTTTGATTTTTTCATCATTGAACACATCTCACCTCTTCATGTTAAGATATCATGCTTCCAATTCCATATATGTTTTTGTGTCTTGTAATATATTATTAGATAGTTTAATAAGTTCTTCATACAATTACATAATTCAAGTACGAAAAAAAAAAAGATAAATTAAATTTCACGGCGATTAACACAAATCTACGATATTGATCAACTTAGTAATTGGAACACGTTGTATTTGTTTACTTGTAATCTTGTAAAAAGTCACTTTTTGGTAAACTATGATTAAAAGCAGATTACGTTTAAAACCCAAATATTTTAAGAGGTTTTAGTTTAAGTGGTGATTATTCTAAACTAGTGTAATTCACATTTACCTCATTATTGGTATCATTTTAAAATAGAATTAAATCTAGGATATAAATGAAAATTATGGGAGGTCTGTGCCCTGTACTATAAAAAAGGGCTGAATACGGACATTCAGACATAAAAATGTTGTTCGTTTATTTGGCTATTTCTTTTAATAGTCCAGACAAGATTTTTAAGGCGGAAAAATTAGAAAGGTTGCCCGAAAGTTTAAGACTTCAAAATTGCTACAAAACTGCTGCAAAATGTTGCTCCTTGCAAGAGTTAGGTTAAAAAATAACAAACCTATGTAATTTTCAGGTATAACATGCTATCTGCACTGGGCCCAATCGGCTTTCGCGCGAGCAAACATTGGTTCGCAATCCACGATAATTCTATTAAAACTGACCGCCTTCTCATCTTGGTAAGATAATTCATTTAAATAATGTTCCTGAGGTTTATTTACATTCTTTATGTAATAAGATTGACTTAGATCATGAGTACAGGCTGGAGTATTTATTGTTAGATGTTTTTGTCTAAAAAAAATTAATTAATAGTGAGTTTTAAACAAAAAATTTGCAGTACAATGTATATGATAAGATCTTATGGGCTGATGAAAATAATTTTTCTTTCATAGATTTTTTTTATATTTCTATAGTACCACCCTTGAGATAAAATTAATTCAGAATTGACGAAGGTATTGCTTCGCTATTGAAAATATAGTCCAATTGAGTACCATGAAGCCGGTCAATAAATAAAAAAAAATCCAAGTTTTTTCGTACCTACTTTTAGTAAAAAAGTTAGATTTTGCCGAGTAACTATTATCCTTTTTGAGGTTGAAAACACCGCTATAATCATATAATGATAAAGTATATTTAATAATGATAAACTGTATAAAAACCATACAAAAACTGTTGAAGCTCCTTTAAATTGAATCCAAAAATAGCAAAAAATCTTAAGCATAGGTCACTTTTACTCCTACACCTTCACACATTTTGTAACTGTAACATGATTTTTATCAAATTACAAATAATATATGCTTTCCCGCAGATGCCGCTTTCTAGTAAGTGCCCTATAGAGCCAAACGAACGGTCTCGGGGTCTCATCATGGAGCTGTTCCGAGCCCTACATCATCCTTACATCTATCCTGTCCTGGACGTAGAGTTGTGCAACGGACATGCTTTGACCGTCTTGCCTTATAACTCACAGGGCAGTCTGAAGGACCTACTTTATAAGGTTAGCTTTAAACTTTAAAATATGTAATGAAAATTATAATTTCATAGAAAGTTAACACTAGAGAAGTTAGCTATGTAATCTAATCGTTATAGATTTTGTAACATCAATAATCTTAGTCTCTCCTATGACCATGTTTACACTATGCTGTAAAGCGTTCGTAACGTCCAAAAATCTTTCGAAAAGTTTAACTGTTTATAAAAATCCGCCATTAGAGCTAGAGAGTTACGTACGTAGTACTGTACTGTAGTGTATCAACTATCTGGTATCCATAACACAAGCCTCGTAGCTTACCATGGAACTAGATAGTGCTGTGTGTTAATGTCCCAACATATTTATTATTATATACATAATTTCAGAGCACATGGAGTGAAGAGTACAGTCGTAAGTACGGATCGAGGGGCACTGGGTTGCCGCCCACACAAGTCGCTAGATTTGGAAGGCAGATGCTGGAAGGTCTTCTCTTCCTGAAAGAGAAAGGTTTTCCGCCCTTCCGTCACTTGCATACAGGGAATGTGGTGGTGCAAAATGGAGTTGCACGGTACGGGCCTTGAATTTACTCGATAGATTAAAATTAAACTTATTTATTATCTGTGATATATATATGTCTATTGCATTGTTCCTTTAAAATCATTTAAGAATTCTCGAGTTATGGACGTCAAAAAGAAAGACAGACAAACAAAATGAAAAGTATTGCTTTGGGCTATATGTAATTCTTATTTCTTATAGTTTAAACTTTGAACATAAAATAAGTACTTTTCACAAAATATTCAATTCGAAAACTAGTTACGGAACCCTAATCCCACGAATATGCTGACATAGCTGAGTCGATAGGATTTTCGCGGGCCGGTTCGCGATCGGTCTAAATTAATTACTCGATAATTATCATCGCGTCGCGTGCCGCCCGGGTGACTACCAAGTTCGAGAATCCAGAATCTACGAACCTGTGGCAGCCGGGAGTGGAATCCAACAATCGATTCAAGTAAAAAGAGACCAGATAATGCAGTTTATGTGAGTACAAAAGAATTGTTCTCGTGTTGCTCCTTTCTAGACCTAAGCCTATCCATAAGCTACCAAAATTTTCCATCCTAAAGCATCTAGGATCCGAGAGCCTCAATCTAGGCAGGCCCGTCGGTTAGGTATAGATAGCATAAGAAATATTAATTCGGAAGAAATTATAAATTCAAATTTAGATTGTAGTCCTTCTAATTTAATTAATTTAGTTAATATGTCTCACGATCCGGATATCATATTTAAGGCCCTCCGCCTTGTCCCGGAGTTCGACGGGAACCCAAATGTTTTAACTAGATTTATCCAAATTTGTGACCATTTAGCGATCGAATATCTAAGCGACTTACCAGGTAGTGAATTTTCTAACATTTGCCTATTAAATGGAATTTTAAATAAAATAACAGGCACAGCAGCAAGCAAAAATAATTCAAACGGAATACCCGACAGTTGGCTAGGAATTAAAACACTTTTAATTAATAACTTTTCCGATCAAAGGGATGAAACCGCCCTATACAATGATCTTTCCTTAGCCACACAGGGTAATAGAAGCCCTCAAGAATTCTATGACCATTGTCAAAATTTGTTTAGCACGTTAATGACGTACGTTACACTGCATGAGACACTATCCACCACTATCGAAGCAAAACGCGATTTGTATAAAAAAGTAACTATGCAGGCCTATGTTCGTGGTCTTAAGGAACCATTAGGGTCCCGCATTCGTTGTATGCGACCACTAACAATAGAAAAAGCTCTTGAATATGTACAGGAAGAACTGAATACTATGTATATGCACAGCCGTTACGAGGTTTCAAAGTCTAACAAAACCGTAACCACTATACCCAACGCTACTCACCACACATTCATACCACGCATATTTCCACCAAGTATAGGACAGACACCATCTAGACCTAACACACAGCCTTTTAAATTTAACAATGAACACCAGCACCCTAGACAACCCACACACACACAAAGAATATTCGGTGCACCACCTCCGAACTAGAACCCTAACAGTCACATGTTTAGGTTACCACCTCGAAATAATATTACACACAGGCCTAATCAAGGCAATGGATTTCCCAGACCTATGCGTGGCGTGAGCCACTTTGCGCCTCGACCACTGCCACCAACACATCATACACTTACAGGACATAATTGGCAAAAATACGGTAACCCTCCCCCAAGAAATTATTTTAAATCAAGAGAAATGAACTTTAATATTTGCGAAGACGATTGCGACTCGTACGATTATTATACAGACTTTGAATCTTATTATAACAGTGACGAATACACGGAATATCCCTATGACTATGAGACTTATTCCCAAAACTATAACGATAATCCCACTACGTCACGAATAGAAACCAATAACGATAGTACACTTGACAATAATGAACAGGATTTTCAGAAAATTTCCAAATCCGACACCTTAAAATAGAAATAAATCTACATACACAATGTCACCTTCCATATATTCAGATATTATCACCACCATTAAAATTATTAATAGATACGGGAGCCAACCAATCCTTTTTAAGTCCAGCAGTTGTAGAAAAATATTTGTATAATTTTCCTTTTAACTACGATTCGTTCGAAGTATGTAATGTTCATGCCAAAACTAGATGTAACTATTCAATAACTATACCAAGCTTTAATGAATTTAATGACCCGAATAATATAACATTTTATGTATATAAATTTTATGACTTTTTCGATGGACTTATAGGAACTGACTTATTAGACAAATGGGAAGCAGTAATAGATTATAAAAATAAAACTTTAATTACCAAAACTGCTTCAAACCCCATATACGTACACGATTCCCGTAATCAAAATTTATACGAAGATATAATCCCAGCAGGTCAATCGAAATTGTTAAAAATCCCTATTAACATGCATGACGGCGAAGCATACGTAAAAGAACAAAAAATTTCAAATTGCGTAATTAGTGAATGCCTTACGTCAGTTAAAAATAGCTAGGGTATTGTAGAAGTTAAAAATCCCAGTAGGAATGATGTAATATTTTCAATGGACCGAGCCCTGTCTGCTGAAATTAACAATATAAATTTCACTTGCACTGAACAATCCCGACGTGTAAAAGACGTTCTGACACGACTTCGTACAGAGCATCTTAACGTTGAGGAACGTAAAAACTTAGAACTATTGTGTACCCAGTACGCTGATGTATTTTATCTAGAAGGCGAACCCCTTACATTTACAAATAAAATAAAACACTCAATTAAAACCACCGATGAATTCCCCGTTCACACGAAAAGCTATAGATACCCATACGTTCATAGACAGGAAGTAAAGGAGCAAATAGGTAAAATGCTCGATCAGGGAATAATGAGGCCCTCTAATTCGGCTTGTAGCTCACCTATTTGGGTTGTGCCAAAAAAGGTAGACGCATCTGGTAAAAGAAAATGGCGAATAGTAGTTGATTTTCGCAAATTAAACGAAAAAACAATAGATGACAAATATCAAATCCCTAACATAAATGACGTATTAGATAAATTAAGAAAATGCCAGTATTTTACAACTTTAGATCTAGCTAGCGGATTTTACCAGGTACAGACAGATCCTCAAGACATACATAAAATAGCATTTAATGTCGAGCACGGACATTATGAATTCCTTCGTATGCCCATGGGATTAAAAAATTCTCCGGCGACCTTTCAGCGAGTAATGTATGATGTGCTGAAAGGCCTACAAAACTCTATTTGTCTAGTTTATATGGATGATGTTATTGTCTATAGTACATCCCTACAAGAGCATATAGTAAATTTACAAAAAGTTTTTCAGAGACTCCACGATTCTAACTTTAAAATCCAAATGGATAAATCGGAATTTTTAAAACATGAAACAGCTTTTCTAGGCCATATTATACGCGCGGACGGAGTAAAACCTAACCCCGAAAAAATAGCTGCAATAGAAAAATACCCCATACCAAAAACACCAAAAGAAATAAAACAATTCCTAGGCTTAGTTGGATACTATCGTAAATTTATTCCGGACTTTGCAAAACTAACAAAACCGCTTACACAATGCCTAAAAAAGGGTAGGAAAATTATTTTAAATGATGAATATATATCAAGCTTTGAAAAATGTAAAACAGTTTTAACGAATGATCCAATACTTCAATACCCTGATTTTAATAAAGAATTTAACCTAACGACCGATGCATTTAACGTGGCCATAGGGGCTATTTTATCACAAAGCCCTATAGGATCCGATAGACCAATTTGCTACGCTTCTAGGACTCTTAACGATAGTGAACAAAATTATAGTACCATAGAAAAAGAGTTATTGGCCATAGTTTGGGCTACAAAATACTTTAGGCCTTACTTATTTGGTAGAAAGTTTAAGATAGTCACAAACCATAAGCCATTGCAATGGATGATGAATTTAAAGGAACCGAATTCACGGCTTACAAGATGGCGTTTACGTTTAAGCGAATATGACTATACAGTAATATACAAAAAGGGTAAAAGTAACACAAACGCGGACGCTCTCTCTAGAATAGAAATACACGCGGGAGAAACAAATTCATTAATAGAAGAAATCGATGAATTAAATTCACTATTAGGCTATCCATCATATACCTTACGCAGAGCATCAAATTCTTCTACGATATCTGATCCTGAAAAATCAAACTCTTCAACAATTTCTGCATCTCATCAATCTAACTCTTCTACATTAACGGCACACAGTAGTCACGAAAACCCTATTTTAGAAATACCGATTACTGATGAACCTCTTAATAAATTTCATACACAAGTAATCTTTACTATAGTTGACGGTATAAAAAGAAAAGCTTCAGTATCAAAGCCTTTTGAAAAACACACTCGAATTAACCTCCAGTTAAGTAAATCTAATTTAGAGGAAGATCTAGTTAACGCCGTAAAGGAATACATTAGTTCTAAAATTAAGACAGCTATTTTAGTTAAACCTACTTTAGATATGTATACAATAATTCCAATTTTACAAAGTAAATTTAAATCATCCGCAATGAATCTAGTCTTAGTAAAAACTGAAATAGAAAACGTTAAAGAATCCTCTAGACAGCAGGAAATCATTCGTCATTATCATGAGGGTAAGACGAATCACCGAGGAATCAATGAAACCTATTTATCATTATCAAGAAATTACTTTTGGCCGAAAATGAAGGATCAAATAACTAAATTTATCACAGAATGTACTATATGCGGACAAGCCAAGTACGATCGAAATCCGGTTAGACCTCAATTTAACGTTGTACCTCCAGCAACGAAAACATTTGAAATTATTCACATAGACTTACTGACAATACAGAATATCAAATACATGACTTTCATAGACGTCTTTACCAAATACGGACAAGCTTATTACTTACGTGATGGAACAGCCGTTAGCGTGTTACAAGCCCTTTTACAATATTGTACCCACCATGGCGTCCCTATGACTATTATTACTGACAATGGAACAGAATTTGCTAACCAATTATTTAACGAATTTACTAGACTTCACAAAATTAACCATCACAAAACTTTAGCTTATTCTCCTAATGGCAACGGAAGTATTGAAAAATTCCATTCGACTCTCCTTGAACATCTGCGACTTTTAATATTACAACATAAAGACGAACCCATGATTGTGAACCTTATGCCTCACGCTTTAATAGCTTACAATAGCTCTATACACAGTTTCACGAGATGTAGACCCTTTGATTTGTTAAACGGACACTTTGACCCTAGAGACTGCCTTGACATTGACCTTACTCAACAAACGTTACAGCAATACTTACAGACACATAAAGAACAGATGAAAAAAGTATATGACATCGTTAACCAATCGTCCCTTAGTAACCGAACGACCCTTATCCAGAATAGGAATCAGACACGCGAACCTGAGATAGAGTATGCGCCCGATCAGCAGATCTTTGTAAGGAACCCATTAGCTGAAAGACAAAAAACAGCCCCAATATATACACAGGACACTGTCCTCGCCGATTTACCTATACATATTTACACTAAAAAGAAACGTGGCCCTATAGCAAAGGCGCGACTAAAGCGAATCCCTAAAGCAGCGAATTTGTTACAGAATCCTGGTGCTCATGATACTGCCCCTGGTACATCTTCAGGAAATTAAGTTCGAGAGTCTTGATGATGGACCTGGAATACTTCCCTACAAACTTGGACCGATAAAAACAACGACACATTACCACACATTCTTACAATACATAAAACTCGACGACATAGAAGATAAAACACACAGTCTACAAAACCATTTGCACAATTACAAAAATCAATTACCTAATGACACTTATTCAGCATATGAAATTCAAATAAATTACTTGCTCAACAAATTAGATGACATATTATATCAAATTAAATCCTTACAACCTACCAGGTCTAAAAGAGGGATTATTGATGGACTCGGAACAGTTATAAAAAGTATTACAGGAAACTTAGATTATACGGATGCTTTAAGGTATAATGAAGCTATAAAATTATTAGAAAGTAATCAGGAAAAAATTACAAATGAACTTAATAATCAGTTAAGCATAAGCAAAGAATGGATCACTAAATATAATAGCGTTTTGACTCAACTAGTAGAAAATCAAAGTAAAATTAATAGCACCTTAATGTTAATACTTTCTAACAATATAGATAATACAACTTTAATTAAATATGCCAAATTTGCCCAACTTTTAGTAATACTAAGTGAAAACATAGACGATTTAATGAACGAATTACTAAGAATAGAAAATAGTTTAGCTTTTATTCATTCATCAAGCATGCACCATTCCATGATTAGTATAGATGTATTAAGTTCAATGATAGATAAGCTTAAGAATATCGACGGAAAAGAGTGTATTTTAAATTTAGAATTAAGAGAATATTATAATATAATCCAACCAGCTTCTTATTATGCTAATAAGCAAATAGTTTTTATATTCCGATTTCCTATTATTTCTAAGGATAATTTTTTATTATATAGATTAGCAGTAGTACCTAATAAAAAATCGCAGGCTCTAATCCCATCCTCTCCTTTCATTGCAACTAACGAGAATTCATTCGTGTACATAGAGGCCGAATGCCCGAGACATAGCAGCTGGTATCTCTGTGAAATGGAACTCAATCATCAGATTCGTACAAATTCAGATTGTATCCACGAGCTAATTGTTAAACAGATTTTGAAGGAATCTTGTCACTTAACTACAGTCAATCTTCTACGAGAATCAATGGAGAAACTAGACGATATGCACTACCTTATATCGTTCCCCCAGCATCAAAAGATACAAATATCATGCGGTAAACAGGAATTCACTTCATTAAAAGGCAGCTACCTAATAACTATTCCCCTAGGATGCAAAATCATATCCGAAGAATTTACGTTAATTAATGACAACAACGAAGTAAGAGGACAGCCCTTAAAATTGATGAAGATACCCGATGAAATTGCGCACCTAGATACAACTATTAATATATCATCTATAAATATCCAAGGACTCCATAGACTCAAGGACAAAATTATGATACAATCACCGCTACCAATTGGACATAACCCAGAGAATCTTAAGGACACAAGTATCCCGGCAACTTTTTCACTCAATACTCTCAAATAGTTGCCTCTCTAGGGGTGGAGGAGTTACGGAACCCTAATCCCACGAATATGCTGACATATCAAATAAATGTACGTTTCCCAGGCGACCACCGCAGAGTTCCTCGAATTAGTTTTGTAATGTCGCATTGTTTTAATTTAGTAATTTTATTAATTGTAATACTTTTCCAATCACTCTTTATTCATACTTCGAGTAAAGACGTCGTTAGTTTTAAGATATATAATTATTGTATTAATGTAAAATTAATAAATAATTATTAATTATTCGGTTTTTTTTCGACCTCCTGACTGCTGCAAACGTAATTAACTCTAACGCTGATATGTTTTAACTGTAAAAGATAAATATTTTATTAAGTAATACAAATTTCCCATTTTTGAATATAAAGATTGATGAAAAAGTTCGTTATAGTATGTGTGTATCTCCTAAAGTACACTCACAATAACTATGTTTATCAATTAAAAACGTACCTAAAGTCTCACTCGAAGTGAGGTTAAGTCTAAGCTAGTATTAAACATACAACAAATTGCCCCCAGTATCTGTGGGCTGGAGAACACTCTGATCGGCGCGCTCCCGAAGCCGCCCAACCGCTCGCTGCCGCCCGAGCGCGCGGAGACGCTCTCGCTGGGACACGTGCTGTTCGAGATGTGCGCCGGCGCCGAGACCGACCTCACGCTGCTGCCGGACCTCATGCCTAACTACGCGCCGGTGATCAATCTGATTTTTATGACTAAATAGACCTTTATTTTAATAAATCACTAGGTACGTTTTAACGGTTAGTATGAAATACAAAACTTTGAATTTCTCGGCTTCTCTATACTATAATATGTATGTATTATACATATAAACCTTCCTCTTGAATCACTCTATCTATTAAAAGAACCGCATCAAAATCCGTTGCGTAGTTTTAAAGATCTAAGTATACATTGGTACAGATAGACAGCGGGAAGCGACTTTGTTTTATACTATGTAGTGATTACCATGGTACTACGGTTGCCGGTGATGATAAATCAAATTTTATTACTTGTATTTTATAAATGATCGCCATCCATAAATCTTATTCATAAACATAGAAAGTGGACTGAGTGTTTCTTTGCCAGCCGTCAGCAAAAAATGGCGGATAAGCGCGACAGACGAATGCGCAAGAAAGTTTTCTGTATTACTTGAAATATGATTAATGAGCTATATATTTATAGCCATTTTATAAACTATTCTTTATTGCACTTATATGTAAAATACAGAGAGTAACAAACAATAAAATTAGTTAGCAAAGGTGGACTTATCTCTAGAAGAGATCTCTTCCAGTCAACCTAAGTGAGTTAGAGAGATAGTATTAAAATGCAGGCTAAAGTGCAGTAACTCAAATGTAAATACTTAAATAAATAAATATTATATATACATATAACAAAACATTATACATATTATATACATAAATATATGTACATACTACTACATACACAAATACATATCTATATAATATAATGCATAATAATAGTAGTTAATATAATTATTGTGGAATAACTTGGGTGAGAAAGTGCTGTTTTATTTTCTTTTTAAAGGCAGTTATAGAGGGGCTTAATTGGATGTCTTTCGGAAGTTTGTTCCAGAGCAATGCGGCATACACCGAAAAAGATTGTAGAAAGAACTTAGTGTTGCTCTTGGGTATGTCAAGCATCGCAGTAATGCAAGGCCGCCTGGAACGAGTAGGAGTAGGGAGAATTTGGAAGCGAGAACAAAGGTATGAAGGAGAATTGGGATCATTAAGAATATTGAAGAGGAATGAAAGGATATGCATATCACGGCGAAGGCGGATTGGGAGCCATTTAAGTTGAGCACGAAAGTTTGATATATGGTCATGCTTACGCAAGCCAAAAATAAAACGAATAGCGAGATTTTGAAGACGCTCTAATTTGTTGAGTTGCTCCTCAGTCACATCTAAATAGCACACATCAGCGTAGTCGAGTATGGGGAGAAGAAGGGACTGAGCAAGCATAATCTTGGTTGTGAAAGGGAGGAAGAATTGGAGACGCTTGAGAGAGTGAAGAGTATAATGCATTCGTTTGCTGACCTCGTTGACATGAGCCGCCCAAGTCATGTTACAATTCATAATTAAGCCCAAGTTTTTTACTTTATTACAGTACGGGATTGGAACACCCGAGAACTGGACTGTAGGTGTCGAGGTCCAATCGATTTTACACCTCAGTCGACTACTGCCAAAAATTATGGATTGTGACTTGCAGGGATTCACAAGGAGGCCAAAGGACTCTGCCCACGTTTGGACCCGGACAAGATCCGAGTTCAATGCATCAATAGCTTCATGTAACTCGGTCAGCTCACAATGTCGATATAATTGTAAGTCATCTGCATACAGATGGAAGGGAGAAGAAATAACTTTTGATATGTTATTAATAAATATTGAAAAAAGTAAGGGAGAAAGTACGCCGCCTTGAGGTACACCAGCAGTAAGATCTAGCCAATCCGATGATGCATCGTTGGTCTTCATGCACTGCTGGCGTCCGAAGAGATAAGAGTGAAACCAGTCTATAACAGTACTAGAAATGTTGACCGCACGAAGAGTTCCCATAAGGATGTCGAGATCCACAGAATTTTAGATTCTATTATAATATAATTTTCAATATTAAAATATTATTTTTACATTCCATTTATAAATTCAAATTGGAATAAAAGACAGATATTGGCCGCACAGTCGCTTTCTCTCTTTCTAGAGAGTGGTCAATTTCATTAGTATTGCTCAGTCCACTCTCTAGGTCTGTGGTCCTATCTATTTACCAATAAATATATACCGATAGATAAATCAGACTTTTATAATTTGTTTCTAATAAATTAGGTATTATAACGGTAAGACATACATGAAACCTATGTATATATCGGTAATGATAGATCTGACTTTTATTCTAGAATTGTTGAAGTTCAGAGGAGGTCAGAGATTGATATCGGTCGAAAATACAACAGCACATTATAAAAAATGCATAATATATATAAATATAAATAGAATTTGAAAAAAAAAAATATTTTGTGTCTCTTTTATGTCCGAGCTTCTCAATAAAAGTATTATGTAGTTCCCACTGCCTGTGGTTTTCCTTGCATACGTACCGCGTATTTTTATTTAGGCCACATGCTATGTGCGTGAAAAAAATGCAATGCCGTATATTATTCTATCTGTATGTTTTGATTAATATATATTTTTAGGGTTCCGTAACTTAAAAGGAAAAAAGGAGTAATTATAGGAACACTTCGTTGTCCGTCTATCTGTCTGTCTGTTTGGATATATTATATGTATATAATAATAAAAGTATTTTCTAGGTGGTAGAAATAATTGAGATCATATTCGGCCCCCGACCACCGAGCGTTCACGAACTAGTTCTATGCGAGCTGTTCCGTAAAATAGACCTGCGGGAGATGAAAGGGTCCTGCTTACCTGTAAGTAAAAAAGATATTATACACATATTGTATTTAAGAAATGCACTATTTTAAAAGCTTATCTTATTTTTTTATAACTGTAAAATCGCTACTTAGTTAAAAAGGTTTCTTTTATCTGTCAGTGAAAGTGTCATTACAATCTTTTGAGTCGTGCTTCTATTTGCCTAGTGGTTAAGGCAAAATAGACGTAATTGATCTTTGTTGGTGACTAGTATGTGATGCTTCAGATCGAGCGACCCTGGGTTCGAGTCCTAGCCTAAATACTTACTTGGCTTTCTGTAACGAAATATTTAGTAGAAGTCCGGAGTTTGGAAGTTGGTACTGAGATCATTAAGTTGCCGGTCCTGCGCCTGATCTCTCATCGGCAACTCCTAAGAGGTTTAAAAGGAATTGAAAATGAACTCGTACCTGCATATATAATTTTTTACTATAAAATGTTTCGCGTAGCTGGTCTTACTGAGATTGGCCGTAACCGAAATATGTTAATGTGGAAGACATAATTACTAGTATATCTAGTATTATGTCCTTTGTTCTCCATACGTGAGGGTATAATATTATTTTTACATTCCATTTATAAATTCAAATTGGAATAAAAGACAGATATTGGCCGCACAGTCGCTTTCTCTCTTTCTAGAGAGTGGTCAATTTCATTAGTATTGCTCAGTCCACTCTCTAGGTCTATGGTCCTATCTATTTACCAATAAATATATACCGATAGATAAATCGTATGGTCTATTACTTGTTCTCTATAAGTGAGGGTATATGTGGTATGCAGAATTTCAGCCAGCGTCTCTCCCACTCATGCCTGTCCCTGCTGAGCGAGGTGGCGCGGCGCCAGGCCGGCGGCCGCGCGCCCGCCTCGCCCAGCACGCCCGCCACACCGCCCTCCAGGAGGTACACTATCTATACTTCTATACTAATATTATAAAGAGGAAAGATTTTTTGTTTGTTTGTTTGTACCGAATAAGCTCCGAAAATACTAAACCGATTGAGATGAAATTTGGTAAGAAGATAGTTTGAGACCCTGGCAAGGACATAGGATAGTTTTTATACCGGAAATTATCCTTTACGGGGTTGAAAATGGGGATAAAAGTTTGTATGGGGAAGCAACCGAACGACCGAACCGAATAAACGCACCCGAGCGAAGCGAGGGTGAGTCGCTAGTACCCTATATTGGTATACCTATCACATTACCCTATCTAATACATTCTTTTCTAGTAAAATTCTTTTTATTCTATTGTACTTATATGCATATTTTCATCTTTAATTTCTACGATTGACAACCATTGATTTAATAATAAATAATTTATTATTGTTTATTTATAATTTTATTCTCATTTTTTATAGACGATACATGCTGTTGGAGCAAGAATACACTGAAGAATGGCAATGGCAATGATGTATTTAATTCTAAATTAATTTTGTACAGATAAATAATATTTTATATGCTGACGTGTAAAGGAAATAAGAAATTAGATAATTCATCCAAAATCAGCATTTTATTTTTATATCCTAAACCTAATAATTTAATTAATTTAAATTATTTGAAATCGTTTACCTTACCTACCTAAAGGCTAAAGTAGAGTTCCTAAAGTAACCCAAACCCTAGATACCTACTTGCAAAGATGAAGTTTGTGTGTGTCTGTTTGTTAATGACTTCTTCACATTGTATCGTTTCAAAATTATTTTAATGAAATTCTGTATAGAAATAGCTTAAATTTTGGATTAACACCGGCACTAGCTTCTTTCACTTTGACAAATACCCGTTTTATATATAAAACTTTATTGATATAATCTATACATCTAATAAAATTCTAACTAAGTCGAATCTGTACATTAAATATTTTTTGGGAAATCTTACTGAAATAGACATTATTATCGATACAGAGGCCGAATCTATAGTTTTTAGAATTTTTGTCTGTCTGTCTGTTACCGCATCACAGAAAAACTACTGGAGGGATTCTGATGAAATTTGGTATGGTCATAGCTGGTTATCCGGGTCAACATATAGGATACTTTTTACCGCGGGACAATATCTTATTTCTGAGAAAAAATACAAAAACTGCAATTTAAGAGTACCTATACTAATATGTAAAACTTTTAAAAGAATTTGGTTTTTGGTCATCTGAACGCGGGCGGAGCCGCGGGCAATGCTAGTACCTAATAAAGAATACGACATACGTATCGTACGTATGTGATGAATAAACTAAAAATGTCTGAAAAATTAAAACTTTAGAAATTCCTGAGGGAAAGGATGCACTATTATCTGGAATCTGGATAATAATACTATGGGATTACTTAATATTTGCTATAATGTCATCCATATAATTATTATAAATGTGAAAGTAATCTTTTCACGCTTAAACCGATGAACAGATTACGATAAAATTTGGCAATGACATAGGTCCTGGGATCGGACTTAGCGGTCGCGGTTTCGCGTCCCGCTGGTATTCATTTGTGTTATGACAAATGTTTGTACTCCAGTCATGGGTGTTTATATTTATAATATGTATGTATTTAAAGTTATATATGTGTAGTGTATCAACTATCTGGTATCCATAATACAAGCTTACCATGGAACTAGATGGCGCTGTGTGTTAATGTCCCAACAAACGAAGCTATTTGCGCATTTAATGTTTTGCTTTTAAATATTGACTACTGCGCGCACTTCAGAGCAGTTATAGGTAACACTATTATTAAACTTCATATTATTTTATATTAGTAAAGAATAGATGTTACTATATTTATAAAATAAACAATGTATATGGAAAAATATATTTTCGTAGAATAACTCGCGAGGAAGGACCACTAATGCTCTTTCGCGGCGCGACAGCTACCGTCACCAGAGCGATGGTCGTGAACGGTGCACAGTTGGGCACTTACGCACAGGTTAAATAAATTAGTATACATGTTTATTTTCAAGTACATACAATAAATATATGATTTATTAATTACTAGCAGCTTAACCTTGCTTCGTCCGAGCACGCGTTTAGATGCTTTTTGCAGTTGTGTATCGGCAGCGCCATCTTTTGGTAAATTTTATTACTAAGTTTATATGTGTTACTCCAATTCATAGTCTGTGTTCGAAGTTTCATGTAAATCGGTCCAACTGTATCAGCAAAACAAACATACATACAATTATAATAATAGAATCGAATATATGTAGTAGATAAATTTTAATGTAGATACATAATGAGTTCTTTCGGGAGCGGCAGAGAATGAATCACCAATTAAAGCATTTTTTGTATACGCGTGGTTGATGCCACAGGCTATCCCTCAGGATAGGTAGCTATATCGCCGGGATAGGTCACGTGGTGTCATTAGAGCTTAATTGAAGCAAGGGTTTTTTTCCATAACAATTATATAGGATTAATAAATACATTTACGTAATCTTTATCAATAACAAAACATTCCCCAGGCTCGAGAAGTCCTCCTGCCTTACATGGGGGAAAGTATCTTTCTTCATTTTGTGGCGTCATTCATTTCGGGACTCGTTACAACTTCTGCATCGTTGCCCGTCGATATCGTGAAAACGAGGTAAAATATTATTTTTTATACACCTATACTTGTACTATATATATATATATATATATATATAAATGTATTAATCCCATCCCATTAATACCTATTATATATACTCAATCACGCTAGAACGGCTGAACGGATCTGGATGAGATTTGGCACAGACATAGATTATAGTCTGGAATAGCACATAGTTAACTTTATATCCCTAAAAAATGTACGGTTCCCGTGGGATAGATTTGTTTTTGTTTTTCACAGAGCAAGGGATCAACTATCTATTCCATACTAACCGTTAAAACGTACCTACCTAGAAACGAACCCGAGCAAAGCGAATGCGAAAGTTCATCTCTTAATGTGTGTGTTTATTACTACTTTATGCGGTAATGGTTTTGATTAAAGTGGGTGTCAGAGAAATAATATAGTGTGTACTTACCACATGAGAGGAGACGCGAGCGATAACTAGTTTTACTGTACTGCCAGTGCCGGATTTAACCTTAGCGCCGCCCCTGGGCATAGTAATAGATGTCGCCCTGTTTTCGAAATTTTGGATAAAATTTTGAAAGTTTGTTTTTTTTTAATCATTAGTTATTTGAAAATGCAAAGAAATCACTTATAAATGATATCAATTTTTCGAAAAATGTACCCACTAGTTAATATTTTTTTATTTTACAGTTTTTGCAAAAAAAAAAACATTTTTGATAACGCGAAGATTTTTTTTTCCCCTGAAATTTGCCGCCCTCGGCACTAGCCCCGAGTGCCCTTAGTTAAATTCAACGCTGTATACTGCACTGAACTGTACGCACGCCACAATCATAATTTTGGTTATTATTTGTGTTGCAATTTTCTTTAAGCAATTTGCAATCGAACAAAAGTAAAATAGTGAAGCAAAAAAAAATTATATTACATTAAATTAATAAAAACGCTTATGTCTATATAATTATGCACTAGAAAAATGTTTTTGTCCCTTTTTATTATAAATTTCTAATCAAAATACTTAAATAATCCTAGTATTGTCGCTATTTGACTTATCATCAAATATAATGATAACAATTTATTTACGATTATATACATATAATATTGTTTTAAAAAAATCGATTTATATTAATTTCATTATACAATATACAAATAATATAAAAATTAAATAAAAATATTGCTATAAATAAATTATGATAAATTTTATTTCAAAAGACGATCATAGATGTCGCTACAACGAAAATATTCAAGCTATGGTTTGGTTCACCTCGAAAGTATAAGTAGCAAGCGTCGTATCCTATATACCGCACCTGAAAAGGTCGTGGGTTCGATTCCTTAGTATTTTTGAGGTGATTTTGTACGTTAAAGTTCAAAATCACAATTATTATTTAAAAATTTGTGTATATTGGATAATGAAATATCAAATACGAATTTTCAGATTTCAGTTATCAATATGAAATATGCTTTGTGTCATGTGTGCAAATTTGAAATTATAAAATTTATAATTATATGAAATATTGTCTGTGGTTGTAGTGCAAAGGTAGCAACTAGCAGCCCCCCTTATGTTAATCTGCCGCGCTTAACTGCAAAAATCCCCTCTTGGGCTTAGGGATGTTTATGTAAAAAAATATCGATATTTTTTTCGATATAATATAACGTATTGTTGTATCGATACTTTGCAATATATCGTATAAATATACCGATATTTTCGATACATCGTAAGTCGTAAGTTATTTGCTTGTATTTAACTAGTCTGTAATAATAAATATTGGATATATAGGGATCAGGTTAATATGAGCAAAAACAGTTAGTGAAGAAACAAAACATTTTATTTATTTATTTATTAATCCCAATACTTTTTCTCTAGACCTTGCAAAACAAAATTTTATTAATTCTTTTGGATTGCAGTTTCTCTGCCGATAAAATAGCCGTTTTTTTATATCGTTATACTTACTAACTGTAGTTAAATTTCGTAAACTGTATTAAACAAAACAGACAACTTTTACTTGAGATAATAATATACTTTATAGGTTATTTTGTAATTTGTACTGAGAATTGAGAACGATGAACGAAGCAGAAGTCAGAACTCGGATTTCGGAAGAGAGTGAGACTCTCGAGGCACAGACACTACGAGTTACGGCTGCAGTCACAGATTATAAAATTTTTACTGGTACTAGTCTTTCACGGAGAGTAGGAGAATAGTTTTCGATTTTCGTGTCTTTGCGTTCCGTTATTGCGAAGGCTAGTTTTTCAATAATTCGTGGTTTTACGTTTTATTCTTACTCAAGTTGCCATCCATAAATAAAGGAATCAACATAAAAAAAAGAAATGGAATGTGCTTTAAATTTCTCACGATATTTGGTATATCGAATCAAATATATCGATACATAATATCGATACTAGATGATACGATAATATCGAGTTGAAGCGATATATCGCGTACATATATATGTCGATCGATATCGATACTTTATGAAATATCGATATATATTGTGCACTCCTGTCTCCTACTTGGGCTCCCGTACCATAACATTTGTTACTCTCAGTATATACCAATGTACTCTGTGTTACTCTCCAGCCCTCTATCTCTACACAAAATCACGCTAATCCGTCACTCTGTTTCGATGTGAAAGAAGGACAAACAGACAAACACTCACAATTATAATATTACTATGGATAAGATTCTTTAAGATAGTGAAAGAAATAAACTAATTTTAGTAAGCGCTTCACTTGAGAACGGCTGAATTGATTTATTTTTCTTAAGTGTTAGTATTTAAAAGGATTTTAGGTAAGTTGTAAAAGTGCTCGGAAAATCGTCAAATTCAGGACGATTCGGGATGCTTTTTTTATAAGATTTTCCTTGAATTCAAAGATCACAAAAAACTATTGACATTTCTTCAACTAGTGTTAAAACAAATTTTATAAGGAATTTTAGAATTTATATTGTTTCATGAGTCAGTCCACTATATTATCAAACATACAGAGTAAGGTTATAACTTACTTATAAGTGCCTTACGCTATTGGCCTAACTCTGGCTCGATACTTACTAGTTACTAGAAATAAGGCTAACACAATCTAATCTCAATGACACCAGTGTTTGCGAATATTAATGAATGTGAACTTAACGGGCTTGAGCGAAAATTAAAATTATACTTAATCTAAGTTTATTAACGTTTTTTCCTTTTCTTTGGCGAAACCATAATGGGCCAGAGGACAGTCAACGGGCAGGGGACTGTGAGACTGGCAGTGAGGCTTTTGAGGAACGCTTGCGCACATATTAATATAATATAGGCAGCTTTTTATCGATTCCAGCTGCGGGCAAAAACTTGTTTGGAATAATAGTTGTTGATAATTTATATTATTTAATAGCATTTACAAAAAGCAATTAATTTAATAGTAACTTTAGATAATAATAAAAAGATAATAATTATCAATAAATATATATTTTTGTAAAAAAAAAAACAAAACGAATATATAAAAATCGGCAAATATTTTAATAAATATCGCGTAAATTTATACACAATTTTTTTTATTAGTTCTACTAAAATATAGATATGGTCTTGACAAGACAGTAGTCCTCAAGGCTCAAGGTATCCTAGTTTAGAAAATAAAGATTGTTTTTTCTTCAGGGTACAAAACTCAGCAAAAGGAACGAGCCAAATAGCAGTCTTGAAAAACATAATACAAAGTGAAGGCGTGTTCGCGCTATGGAGCGGCTTCATACCAACTTACACCAAAATTGGTCCACTCACTGTTCTTATTTTCATATTCTTAGAACAACTTAATGCTATGTATTATAGATGGACGGATTAAATTAAAGGGGATTATTTATTTTTGTTTTTTTAAATAAATACATAATTTTTTTAACTAAATAAATAGAAGCAGTGGTAGCCCAGTGGTAACACGCTCGCTTGGGACACCGAGTGAAGCGGGTTCAAATCCCGGGTCTCGCACCTCTGATATTTTCATGTGCGAATCATTTCCAACATGATTACCGCTTGCCTTACGGTGAAGGAAAACATCGTGAGGAAACCTGCATGTCTGAGAGAACCTAGCAAGTTTTCGAAAGACATGTGAAGTCCGCCAACCCGCACTTGGCCAGCGTGGTGGACTATGGCCTGATCCCCCTCGTACTGAAGGGAGGCCCGTGCCCAGCAGTGGGACGTTAAAAAGGGCTGAATACACATATATGTTATAATACATACATATATAAGAGATCATGATTTATGACTTATAATTTAAAAATAAAATCATATTTAACAGTAAACTATAAATTATTTTTAAAGAATATCATGAATTATAATACTACTAATTCACAAAAGAAGCGTCGTGTCGTGTCGTGAGAAGAACTGGTGACAAAAAATGAGCGAAACTAGACTATCTAATATCCGCATCACAGAAAAACCACTGGAGGGATTTTGATGAAATTTGGTTGGTGGTAGCTGGCTATCCGGGTCAACATATAGGATGGATGGACTTTTTACTGCGGGAAAATATCTCATTTCTGAGAAAACATGCAAAAATGTAAGAGTATCACTTATCTGTAAAATAAATCATTTATCTGTAAAACAAAGGAATTTGGTTTTTGATCATCTGAACGCGGGCGGAGCCGCGGGCAATGCCAGTTTCAAATATGATTATAAATTAAATTAATTATTATCTAATATTGCGTTCACAACATTTCCAAGGTGTTTCTCGTCTATAAACTTATTTATTGGATAATAACATTCACAAACGATATTTAACATTTTTTTTACATTGGTAATAGAAGCTTTTTAATATTTTTTTGCACAAATGTATACATATACATACAGATAAATAAAATTAAAGTGTCTGTTTGTAATGTCGAAATAACAGCTTTTTACTAAACGCATGTGAAATTATATACCGTACATATAAGAAAAACACAATTTGACTTAATAAAATAACATTTTTGTCTGCCTGTCTGTTTGTTCCGGTTAAACTCCGAAACGTCTGACGGTACAGATTTTGACGGGACTATCACTGGCATATAGACTGGCTGACGGGATGCACTAGTAGTCCATAAAAACAATTACCAGCTTTTTGTACCTAAGTCATATATAGTACAAGTTTATTTTTCCTTCGGGCTTGAAGTTCCAGGGTTACACGTTCAAAAAAAGACACATTAGGATAACTATAGATAAACGTTATTTTGATGAATAAGGATTAAACAAAAGACGGTATTTTTGAAAATAAAATTGCTTTTAATATCACACAATCAAATATACAGATACATAAAGTACAAATACTAAATAGTAAAAAAAAACTTTAAAGAAAGATTTATTTAGGATCAAAAATATTAAAGTATGAGATAAGGAAACAGGCAAAAATTACAATTAAAAACATTCTACGCAAAATTTATTTAATGTATATATTTATGTAATTATTTATAATACTTTTTATTATTTAATATATTCAAAAATCCTAAAATTGTAAAAATTGGCCATTAACTATTATTAACTTTTTTTTTATCTGGGCACAATTGAGAAATTTAACAGCCAACGATAAAAATTTACGTAAATATTTGACATTTTAAATAATTTTTCGGATTTTTCGCGGATTTACTTTGATTTTTGGTTCCCGACGGTTTGAATGCTTTACAGCAACCATGGTCACGGGAGATATCAAGGTTTTATACGTTTAAATGATAATTACTTTAAATCCGCGAAAAAATCTGAAAAAATTGTTTTATTTCAAATATCTACATGATCTAAGAAAATAATACATATATGATCAATATCAGATTTTTGTCTTAATCTATGTATGGAACAAATGGAGCGATTAAAAAAAAATACCACAAACATTCTTAACCTAATAAAATCTTTATAATAGATACAATATTTAAACTCAGACTAAGAAATAATATAAACAGAGTGTCATAGAATTAAACATGAAGCCAAACAATAATTATTATTTAAAACAGTATAGTAATACTTATATTATTAATAAAAAACTGATTACTGTGATAACTAAACAAATGTTATTAAATAAAAATAGCTAATGGATTTTTTATATTAAAGAAAAAAGTTAAATAACTTAATATTATGCTATCTCCCTTTAAAGTTTAAACAGGGCTTAAAAATACAAAAGCATATAGTATGAATTTTATTATTCATATTATATTCTTATTTTTAATTAAAAATAAAGGATCTGTATCGCAATAAATTGAGAATGGTAGCTTATGCCTTAAACAAATGACGACACTATTTTTGACTTTGACATTTTTTTTGGCGGGCTCCGTCTTTATACTTCTTTATTCCGAGTATTTAAAATACAAATGTAAGATTAAATACATACATTTCTTTAATTTTGCTTAAATAGTTATTATCAAACAGTATGTTTTACTTGGATTAGACTAATTCTAGTTTGATTTATGTTGACATTTTTTTTATTATTTTTTTATTTTTTCCTGAACAATTAATTGTGATGTGATGTAAGGTGATATTTTTCTTTCTTGTTATTTATGAATTATAACCTTAAGATTAAAATAATCGACACGAACGGAATAGATAAGTCACAAAATACACTTTCCATACTACTTCTAAAAATTTACAAATATACTTATTTTGACAAATGAAGCCTTTTTTGTTTTTTCTTTACTTATTGTAACTTGTGTTTGCTATAAGTAATCGAAACTTCGCGTCGAGCACAAAGAAGTGAAATAAAACTATTTAGCAGCAGTATTAATTATTTTATCGTTAGATAATTAAATCAGTATTTTTATTAATACAAAGACTAGTTAGTGACTTTATACTGTAATATATAATGTCGAAGTTAGTTCTGCTACTTGCCGGTAGGATATCTAGCCACCACCAATATTTTCATAGGTATTGCTATTAATAATAATTAATTAATTCTAACTTTATTGCTATAATCTATATGTGATATAAAAAAAGGTACATAAATTTTATTTGAAGCCAAATAATGTTGCCAAGTTCGTGCTAAATATATAATAATTTATACATCATTAAAACAATTACTAGTGCCTAATAGAACGTTTTGAGCATTTAAAAAGAGGGAATATGTTCTCAACCGAATCTCAATGAAATGTATTAATAAATTAAAAAATAAATTGTATGAATTATGATTTCAATGATTTATAATGAGTGAGATGTTACAATGGAGTCTCAGATTCTACTCTTATGAGTATAACAGTAAACACGTAAGAAAATCTTTGAATAAACGATTTATCCAAACTATCTGTCTGTTTAAACCGCTGAACCAATTTTTTTGGTAAGATTAATGGGACCTTGGAGAAGGTCACTTCAAGGGGGTGAAAAAGGGGTTGAAAATGTGTATGGGGAACCAACTATCAAAATTACACTCACGATAACTATTTTTTTATCTATTTAAAACGTACCTAGGAACGCACCCGAGCGAAGCGTGGGTAAGTCACTGGATTATTTATTTTAAATTATTTTCATTCTTTTAGTAATTGTATTTTCGCCATCTAAATTAGATATTGGTGCCTATTCCTATATAAGCGGAAATATTTTTCTTTTGTAATTATAATGATTTTTTTTTATAAAATATTTATGACTCTCTTTTACTGAAACTTAAAACTATCAGTTGGGAAGAAAATTTCCTTAGAAGTACTATAATACTAATTTTTATAACAATTTAATACGTGTATAAAGAAATTTTGATATTATTTATAATACATAATCCTAGTTTTTACGCTTTTATATATATTTATCCATATATATAATAAAATTGTAACAAAGCCGAATCTGTGATTTAAATATTTTTTGGAAAATCTTATTGAAATAAACATTATTATCGATACAGAGGCCGAATCTATAGTTTATAGAATTTTTGTCTGTCTGTTTGTTACCGCATCACAGAAAAACCACTAGAGGGATTTTGATGAAATTTGGTATGGTGCTAGCTGGTTATCCGGGTTAACATATAGGAAACTTTTTACTGCGGGCAAATATATCATCTCTGAAATCTATACTAACCGTTAAAACGTAAGAGTGAGTCGCTATTCCGTAATGAATTTTGTTACATAATATATGTGCACACGAGTATTTAAAAAATATGAAAGGCCAAAGAATTCCCAATCTAAAGAACCCATAAACACAACTTTTTCTCTCGAAGACAAACTATAGTTATTTAAAACCGTTCTATATTCCTAACAAACAGTAAATCGATGCCGTGGGTGTGTCATCCATTCGCAACTTCCTCCACGATGGTCTCCCAGGAGTCAGTTGACTCCGTCTCCCAGGAATCGTCATCATCATCTTCGCCATCATCATCATCATCGTTATCATCTAACATTGCCAGCTGGAATTAAAATGTTATACTATTATTAAAAGAACAATAGTAGGCCCATTGGTAATGCGTAAGCTTGGGAAATTGAGTGAAGTGTGTTCGAATCCGGGTCTTACACCTCTGATATTTTCACGTCCGAATCATTTCCAATATGATTACCACTTGCCTTACTCTGAACAAAAACATCGTGGGGAAACCTGCATGTTTGAGAGAACCTAGTAAGTTCTCGAAAGACATGTGAAGTCCGCCAACCCGCACTAAAATGTCGAAAATAACTAAACGGGGGTTTTCATTTAGAATAGACACCTAATCAGATATTTTCGAAGTCGGTGCCAGCCGACAATATTTTAAGATATGAATATCTACCTAATAGGCAAATATGTGTTTTACGTATCAAATATATTAGATTTGCTTTGCATCGGCTTATTATTATTATTTATCTGTATAAATATAGATGTATAGATTATCCCCCGCTGCACTGAGTGTCTGTTTGTTTGGACTAATCTCAGAAACGAATGTACGAAATTCCATACGGTTTTTAATAATAGAAACAGGGATTCGTATCTAGGAAGGTAAGGCTATATACATATACTCATAATTTATGCACATTTTGGAAAAATAAGCTAGCGCTGTATATAATAACTGAAATCCTTCCAGGATTTTTTTGACAGTATCCAAGCAACACGAGGGTCAGCTTCCATAATTTACAAAAACCGGCCTTCAAAATTATCTTCTTAAGGTCGTTTGCAAAATATGTAATAATAAACAATAAAAAATCAAATCACCTCGCTTTCCCTTAGCGTGTGCACAGTATGCACTCGTATCTGAAACATCAAGGCCCTGCCAAGGAGCGCCACTGTCCCGCTCAATATCAGCGGCATACTGAGCCGGCATTTCCATGCCAGACTCATCAGGAATATGAACAGGCTCTTGCGACCTGGCATCGTAGCTGAAATCGATAAATAAATATATCTATATGTATACTTGCTACAAATTTGAAAGGTTTAAAGTGGTATCTATACTAATATTATAAAGAGAAAAGATTTTTTTTGTTTGTTTGTACCGAATAAGCTCCGAAACTGACTTAGATGAAATTTGGTAAGAAGATAGTTTGAGACTCTGGGAAGGACCTAGGATAGTTTTTGTTCCGGAAATCATCCCTTTAGGAGGTGAAAATGGGGATGAAAGTTTATATGGGGAAAACAACCTAGGGACGAACCCGAGCGAAGCGAGTGTGAGTCGCTAGTACTCGTATTATATAATTCTTTGGAAAAATTGTTTTATGAAAAATTCGCAATGAGGTTGGGATATAAAAGAAGCTATATTGACACTTTAATTCATTTCTTTTGTTAATGGCTTGACAGATAATACATAGTTTCTACTGTAGTACTTCGGTTTATGTGTAAAGTAAGTGAAAATAGGTTGATAAATATTAATGCGACTTTCTTAATTACAAAGATGGTTTTTGTTTCTTGTTCATGGCTTCAAAGCGTGATAGTTGAGCACAGATTACTTCGCCAATGTCACGTGGAATGGAGAAGACAAATGTTGTTTAAAAATTTTAGCAATGAATTTCAATAAGCCACATAGGTACTTTTCACAGAATATTGACATTGAGCATGATTATAATGCCAGATCATCCCAAATATTCGTATGTCACTTATAGGACTGAACTGGGATATATGAACGGAATTGTCTTCAGCGAGACTCGAATTTACGAACTCCGATAGTTTATATATATTTTTTTATATAAATAAAATGAATGTTGGTAAGCGCATAACTCAAGAATGGCTGGACCAATTCGGCTATTTTTTTTCGTATGTTCCTTAAGATCCACGGAAGCTTTTATAAAGAGAAAAATGAAAAATTAACGAAAATAAATAAAAATGTATATGGCTAACGCTGGCTAATAACTATTTATATCTATCTAAAACGTACCTAGCGAAGCGATGCTTTGGCTAAGTAATTAAAGCCTACCTATTAAATACAGTATTTTTTTACTTTTTAGTGCTTTTGTTTGAAGTCGGTTTTTACTTTTTTGTTAAAAAGTATTTTTATCCCGGAAAAATGTACGGTTCCCGTGGGATAATTTGTTTTTAGTTTTTCTAGAGGCAAATCCGAGTGAAGCGAGGGTGAACCGCTAGTGCCTAATAAATAAATAATAATCATTTACATTAATAAATATTATAAAATATTTATTATCAATGTGCTCATTTTTTACTCGACTGCGACGAACCCAAGGAGGGTTATGTGATTGACTGCCTCGGTGGTGTAGTGGCTAGCATGTACGGCTGCACACCCGGAGATCCTGGGTTCGAGTACCGGATCGGGCCAAGTTTAGTTATTGAGTCTTTCTGTATAGTAAGTCTCAGTAACAGCCCGGAGTTGGGAAGATGGCAGTGTTTCACCCCCGTGCCTCGGAGACGTCACGTAAAGCCGTCGGTCCTGCGCCTTAAGTCTCACCGGTCGTGTCGAGCAGTCGTCCCACCGGAGTATGAGAGTGACAGGAATAGAGAGTGCACGTTGTCGTGTCTGCGCGTACACTTGTGCACTATAATATCTCCTGCGCAGTTGGTTCGTCTCAATGAGATTGGCCGCCGTGGCCGGAATCGGTCAGGAGAACATCATCATGTGTTACTTTCTTAGATTTACGCGAATATTTGACATTTTAAATAAAACTATCTTTTCGGATTTTGTCGCGGATTTATTTGTATTTTTGTTTCCCGACGTTTCGAATGCTTTACAGCATCCATGGTCACGGGAGAGACTGAGGTGTTACATGTCTTTAAGATATAGTTGTTACAGACAGCCTACCCACAATTAACAAAATGAAAATTGCACCAATTACATTACAATATTTTAACTTTAAATATTTTTATAATTTTAATTATAATTGAATATGGAAAATTATTTATTTAATCTGATTAAATAAATAATCTGATTTATTTAATCTGATTAATCTGATTAAATAAATAATTTTCCATATTCAATTATAATTAAAATTATAAAAATATTTAAAGTTAAAATATTGTAATGTAATTGGTGCAATTTTCATTTTGTTAATTGTGGGTAGGCTGTCTGTAACAACTATATCTTAAAGACATGTAACACCTCAGTCTCTCCCGTGACCATGGATGCTGTAAAGCATTCGAAACGTCGGGAAACAAAAATACAAATAAATCCGCGACAAAATCCGAAAAGATAGTTTTATTTAAAATATCATCATGTGTTTTACCTTTATGTATGTATGTCCAACTCTATGTTCCCTCGTATTATTACTAAACGGCTTAACCGGTTTTGATGATTCATACGGTGTTAGATTCGTCTTGATAACTCGAGTGTCATATGGTACATCATTGATATTATTGTGTCCTGAAAAAAGATGAGAAAAGACGTAAAAACGTATTGTTATGCAGTCGGAGACAAACATATGTACAAATTGTGCATGTTTTATATTAGCTACGTGTGTGTATGTCTCCGACTGCATAGCCTGTTGAAAAACACCAATCCATCAAAACCGACAAAAGCCACATAGAAACCAATAAATATGTATTGGTTTCTATGTGGCTTTTGTCACTTGTGATGGGATCCTATTGGAGTTTTTAAATAGGGTAGTACCATGTTCCTTCGTCAACTTGTTCTCATCTTTTTAGTTAGCTTTTCACGCAGTCGGGTGTTTTATTTTTGTAATTATTTCGCGTAATAAGCATTATACATAATCATAACTTTTTAATCATGAACGTAATATTTTTGAAACTAATAAGCTATTTCATATCTAATCAATGCTTTAATGTTTACTCTTTTGGACATGTAATCAAATATATGAATATAACTTACACTCAATATAGATAATGTGAAATAATAAAAATAATGCTATATCACCCGAAAACTTACGTAAGTTATGACTATCGCACTACAATTATAAATACGAAAGTTTGTATGTTTGTGTGTTTGTTATTCATTAACGCTGTAGACTATAATCTTGAGTAACACATAAGCTACTCTTAAACACCTAGGGACGCACCGAAGCAAAGCGAGGATAAGTCGATAGTATAGACACATCACATAATACTATATGTATTAAGTACAGATTCCTCATCCCATACAAAGAATTTGGACAGCGCTAATTCGGGCTATTCTACGGGCTAGTTTTGCTTATTTGAATAGATAATAGATGTCGTTAATTCGCAAATACTTAAACTGTTTTATTTTATAAATATGTGCAAACTGACGTATGGTAAATATTATAAAATTTATCCCGCATCCGAATTAAAAAAAACTTTCTTTTGTATATAAAAGAAAAAACCTTTAGTATGTTACAAAGGTAGTCTGTAAAAGGTAATTTTATGAATGGAACCGAGCCCCAAAAGTTAAGCTTATTACTTTACTATAAATGCTAAAATTTGCATGTGTGTGTTTGTTACTCCTTTAAGCTAAAACGGCTGGACGGATTTGGATGAAGTTTAGTTAACAGATAACTATGACCTGGAGTGACACAAAGGCACCTGAACGAAGTTACCCTTGAAAATTGCTAGTAATGTATTTTAGTACTTTTTAGAGTTCCGTACCTCAAAAGGTAAAAAAGGAACCCTTATAAGATCACTCTCTTGTCCGTCTGTCTGTCCGTGTGTCACCACCGATCTTCTCAGGAACCTAAGGGCGGACTTAGCAAGTTGTAATTTATACCAGATACTGAGGTCTATAGTCCCTATTAGGTGTAAAAAACCAATGTCCTGAGTCAACACGATAAAAAGACATGGGTAAATTTAGATTTTCCCGAAATTTTTTAAGTAGGTACCAAAATTTACCTTAATTTTCAACTTTGTTTATTTTTCGGAATTTTCCCTTTACTTGTGCTGAAAACCTTGCTTTTAACCAAAATTGATAATTCTAGGTCAACCGGAAGTACCCTATAGGTTTTGGGTCGAAAAAAAATGGTAGTTCCTGTTGACCTAGAATCACGAAATTTGGCAAAAAGCTAAGTCTTACAGCACAAATAAAGGAAAGATTCCAAAAAATAGAAAGAAGTTGAAAATTAAAATTAAACAGATGTCCTACTTTATACGGACCCTAGGTGGGCGAGTCCAACTCGCACTTGTCCGTAATTTTTTTATTTATCAAACTAGCAACTCAACCTCGCTTCGCTCAAGTTAGTCCCTAGGTAAGTTTTGACTCTTAGTATGGACATATTCAACAAAACAAAGATCATAAAAATCGGTCCAGCCATTCTCATACAAGCACAGTTAGAGCATGTCGCTGGTGTATAATTTTGGAAATTTGTATATTAGTAGAATATATAGGCATACCATATATATTTTGCTCTTTAAAAAGATAACTTAATAAATGAGAAGGATGTGTAACACATTGTTGTTAAACAATCTTGGGATTATCCTGTGTAATGCTAAATTTCATTAAAGCTTTTATAGATTAAAAAAAAAAACTATTTCCATTCATCAACTGGAGCTTGCTTATAAATAAATAGAGATGAGATATTATATCAACTCATGTATCTGAAAGGGTGCCTAAGCACGGAAAAAGCTGTGCAAGTTTAAAACCTTTAAAAGTAGGTATCTGAAAGGATTCCAATTATACATACACCAACCACAAAATGGAAAATATTAACACAACTTATGAATGTAACTCATAACAAAGAAGGGTTAATTGAAAGACATATAGATTCTAAGCATATATTTTAATATGAATTGCATTCATAATACTTGAAATACATAAAGTGGAATGTTTTGAACTTACAATAACATAGTAATATAGATAACGACAAACATCTACACTAGCAGATCCAAAGAAGCATAACACCGAGCAAATACTATTTTAAAGAGAGCTAAATAGAATTATTCATCATCAAAGAAATCAATATGTTCTCCAGAAGGAAACTTTCCCGAGAGTAGAATCTTGATACATTTTTTTGCCGTCACCTCGGGCTTCAATAGAGCACCTTGCTGCCTGAACGAGGTAAAAACATTTCTCAAGTTTTCATTCACAGCTTTTTCCAACACATAATCAATCATGGCTGTCTCCACAGGCCCAGGGGAATAGTTTAGGACCTTTATGTGCTTTTTCTCTTCGGCTAGGACTCGGAAATACATTTCCCTGGCTGCTTTCCCGCTGCAATAGTATGCCATACCTCCCATAGGCTTGATAGCACAGAGTGAGGTTATATTCACGATTATTGCCCTGTCCTCTATTTCCTCAAATATCTTCAAAAACTGAGTATTCAAGGAAATAACTTTAAACACATTTAGGTCATAGTAATCTCTTAGCGCTTCCACATTTTCCATACGAGATGTTTCAACTGACAAGTTTCCGAGTGATCCAACATTGTGGAATATAATACACTTGGAGAAATCTTTTATCTGTCGCCCTTTCAAAGCATTAATAATAACATCATGCATCTCCTGTTCTGATGCCGTTGAAAGATCAATAGAATTATATTGGATATCATTTGCTTTACAAAGACTAGCGGTAGTTGCAAGTTCCGCTTTATTGCGAGCCAACAAGAGCATAATGGATTTAGGGCCTAGGTGTTGTGACACTTCTACTGCAAGAGATCTACCTATACCTTGTGATGCACCACTTACAACACAGAATGATGGCCCAGATAAGTCTATGCTAGATGATGATGACGCCATGACTTAGGGGTCTTAGTTACTTACAGGCAACCAAATTACTCCTGGAGTAGCTTTTCAGATTCAGTGTCTCCGATCACAGGGTCTAAATCGCAGCCTTCTCTTATTAACCGGTCAATACAGTCCGCTCGGTATGCTGCTAAACTATCCACAACTTTATTCTTCCTACGAAGTGCTCGTAATTTTCTTTCTGTAAAGATAATATTTAACTAAATTTTTTTACTAATTACCTAAGTGATTTACATAAACTTATGTTTATTTAATTAAAACCTAATTACAGTCTATCGTCAACAGTTAATGGTAACGTTTTACCACATAATAAAATGAATAAGTTGTGAAATATGACCTCAGATAACCTGATACGTATATAAATGATATTGAAAAAGTTTTTTTTACAATGACAAGTTAGTATTATTACCTAGCACAGCTAGATATTCGGCAGAGTCAGCCAATTTGTCTTCTTTAACAGGTATGAAGTTGTCTTCAAATTCTGGGGTTACTGACGAATTTATAGTTTGGTTTCCCCAGGGATCCATTAAATCTGTAATATAATCGTTTTAATCTTCAGTATGTAGTTCGTTCTTTAATTTATCTAAAACTCATCAGAATAATTGATCGTAAATTATTTTTCACACCAAGGCCATCTATTGCGTTTTGTAAATACAATACATACAATGAATAATTTTGTTTCTCATTACTTGATAATTGATATACTTACTTGAAGGCTAAAAGCCAAATGGTTTTGTTTTTAGTTGGTGAAGGGGCTTAGTAAAAAAGAAAGGCTAGGTAGGTGTATCTAATGATTGTGAAACTGTCTGACAACTTGAAAAGACAAAATTTATCTCGACTTTGTTTATAGTATCAAAGAACATAGTGCCTATTCATGACACTTCAATAAATATAATACAATATTTTTTAATTACTACATAATTTAATTTTAAAATTAAATTTCTATATACATTTTAAATGTCAAATATATTGTACACATAATGTAAAAAAGATCAAAAATATTATTATTATCTCTTTTTTTTAATAATTATTAAAAGTATTCTAAGATTTACGTTTGTGCAATTATATAATTTTCTACACTGCGATTAATGGTACTGAGTTGAGAATTGTGATATTCATTTATAAATATTTTATTAAAAATACTGATTTTTATACCATTCTTCTATATTCAGTACAATATAATGATAATTATTTGCTGTCGATTTTAAAGCTATTTTGATTTATTTATGAATCTTTTTAAGCAATTAAAAAGCACAAAAATAATTTAATTGTTAATGCAATCTTTATTGTTAATAATATTATTATATTTTATCTTGGCGTGAGTAGGTTTCATTAAAGCGACTTTAGATAACAGATTATAAATAAATTCTCGGATACACGTCCGTGAAAAAAAGACATTAACATTAGATTGTTTTTATGATCAAAATCGATGACTTTATATAATGAATTACTATTATTTTTTAATAATTAATATATAAAAAATGTACATAAATTAATTCGTCTAAATAATTACTATTTGTATTTGGACTAAAATGCTTATTAGATTTAATTTGCGCACGCTTCTACTAGTGACCTATCAATTCAAGCTTAAATTGTAGGGAGCACAAACTGTATAGACATGTTACTAACAACTATTCAAATTGTTACAATATCAATTTCATCAACCTTCATTTTTGAAAACTTTTAGACAATTTTTTTCAACCCTTGAGTTTGCCAGTATCGTCTGGAATCCTTCCTATCACATACATTCCCAACGTATCGAAAGCGTACAACGCGCTTTTACAAGGTACCTTGCATTCCATGCCACTGGTATCTCACATAGACAACCCTATAATCAGAGATTGGTTGAATTTAAAATGATGTCTCTTCGAAACAGGCGGGAGATACTTGATCTGTGTTTCTTGCACAAAGTAATCAATTATAAAGTCAAGTGCAGCAAGCTGCTTGAACGAATTCCCCTATCAGCACCAAGTAGATATCCTCGCTATTGCAATTCTTCTCAAAAAACATTCCATATACCTTTCGCTAGAACGCATCTCGGTAAGCAATCTCCCATAGCTCGCATATGTGCTAAATATAATGAAATATCTCGAGCTCTGCCTGGCATCGACATATTTCACAACTCATATGATGTATTTAAAAAAAAACTCACCGATCATCTATCGGTGAGTCTTCATTTACATTGAAATAAATATATATGTTTATTCTTTTTTCCTTTTCCCCCCCTTAGTGTTTACATGTATTTGTTGGTGAATGTTATGTACACTAGTTATTGATATACATATCAGTGTGTGTTACTTTTCAATTTTCTTAATATGTTGTGTGTTAATGTTAAATATGTATATTGTAAGTGTGCTTATAAAATAAATAAATAAAAAATAAACCCTTGCCGGGGGTTGCAGACATGAAAACCTTTACACACACACTGTTTTTGTATCATTAAAACTAGGTACATTATATTAAAAATGCAAAGTTGAGTGAAAAAATTTGATTTCAGACCATATTTGACTGGACTATACGCCTAAAGGGATTGCATTTTCTATATGTACATAATATAATATGTAGTAATTACCATAACACCTCCAGGTAAATTTCTAAGAAATTAATTAAATTTCTAAGAAATCTATTGTTAACTGTAACGCCGGCGTGTCCGCGGTCGTTGAGGGATTAATTAATACAATGAACTCTTGTGCAAAATTGTATGCCAGAGATATCTAGAGAACTCTAGAGAAGGAAGTCTAGAGTTTTATTTATTTATTTATTTTATTTAAACACTTTATTGCACACAAAAATAAAAATGATACATACAAAAAAAAAATACATTTAAAGAAATGTGCAAAGGCGGCCTTATCACTAAAAGTGATCTCTTACAGGCAACCGCTAGAAGTAGGATACAAAAGTTAACAGAAAGCGGAAAGGTGCATAAAGTGTACTCAATAGACGTATTACATATTATAAACATACATAAAAAAATACATATATAAAATACTATTTATACAATAAATATTTATTGTTTACATACTTAAACATACATATACATAATAATATAATAAAATAATAATAAACATACATAATATACACAATAAAACATATATAATACATGCAACTATAATGACAGCTTAGTTGTAAAGCGACAATAATGTGTTAGGAGGCGCTTTTTAAAAATGCTTATTGACTTGGACTGTCTTATTTCATTTGGAAGCTCGTTCCAGAGCTTCACCGTCTTAATAGTGAAAGATTCACTATAGGATTTGGAATGGACTAATGGGATTTCTAGTAATCTTTCACTGCGAGAACGAAGCTCTAGAGCGAGCTGGGAACTTGCCCCTAGGAACTTAAAGTGTTCTTTGAGGTAGGTGGGAGTGTGAGGATGGTAAAGGGTTGTGTATAATAGACAAAGCGCGTGTAAATTACGTCTATTGTGAACTATTAGCCATATCAACTGTGTCCGATATTGCGTAATGTGGTCATACTTCCTAAGTCCAAAAATATATCTTATAATAAGATTCTGGAGACGCTCAAGCTTATTGAGTAATCGCTGAGATAAATCTAGGTAGCAGGAGTCAGCATAGTCGAGTATCGGCAATAAAAGGGAGTTGGCTAATAATATTTTGGTTTTGACCGGCAATAGGTTTTTCCACCTTCTCAAGGTGCCAATAGCAAGAAATATCCTACGGCTAAGGTGGGCAACTTGAGGAGGAGAAAGTGCTGTCCATTATGATCCCTAGATTTTTAACACTACTGCTGTATTCTAAATGGACATTATTAAATGAAATGGGAGGGAGGAGAGGAAAATGTATTTTAGAAAGTTGTTTAGAATTGCCAAAGACTGCTACTTGAGACTTGCTCGGATTAACACACAAACCAAATGACTTAGCCCAGGTACTAATAATTTCGAGGTTGAAATTAATATTTCCAATAGCCTTAGCAATGTCATTTACATTTGTAGTCGCATAAATTTGCAAGTCATCTGCATAAAGATGATAGGACGTAGTGAAGTGTTTAGTGAGAGTGTTAATGAAAATGGAGAAGAGTAGAGGAGAAAGAACTCCGCCCTGAGGGACTCCAGCATTAATACGAGAGCAAGAAGTCCGCTTGCCATCTAGTCTAATGTATTGTTGGCGGTTATTTAGGTAGGAGTAAAACCATTCAGTAGCGTGTGAGGAAATATTTATGGACTTGAGAATGGCAAGTAGGATGTCAAAATCTACTGTGTTAAATGCATTAGAGAAATCTAACAGGGCCAGGATGGTAATCTGCTGATAGTCAAATCCGCTTCGAATATCATCACAGACCTTATTAAGTGCAGTCACAGTGCTGTGCCCAGGTCGAAAGCCGGACTGGAAAGGAGATAAGATGTTATTATTATTTAAGTGTAGATATAGTTGCTGATGGACTATGCGTTCAAGGACTTTAGATAAGTTGATTATGCTGTATTCATAGGATAAAAATTAGATTGTTTTACTCATTTTTGTCTGTTTGAATGCAGTTTTAAATTAACATGCATGTAAAGTTGATAAAAAAACTTTAAAATAATAGAATTATTTAATTATAGTTCGTAAAAGGTTATTAAATTTAGTGTATGTAATAAAATTGCGTATAGTAATAATTTATTCATAAAGTAAATAATAATAAAGGGTAGATTTTTGTCATAAAATGAGAACATTATACTTGCTGTAAAACTGTTTAGTATAAAAATAAAACTTGTTAGAATATAATCGAAACTATAATTATAATTTATATTTATTTCCAAATTGATATATGACATAAGTTTATAAAATACTAGCGATTCAACCTTGCTCCGCTTGGGTTCGTTCGTTCCCTGGTGACGCCTTAACGTTTAGTATAGATTTCTCAGAGATGAGATATTTTCTCACAGTATAAAGTATCCTATATGTTGACCCGGATAACCAGCTCATCATACCAAATTTCATCAAAATCTGTCCAGTGGTTTTCTCGTAATCCGTTTACAGACAGACAGATAGAAATTCTAAAATCTATAGATTCGGCGTCTGTATCGATAATAATGTCTATTTTAATAAGACTTTCCATGTACATTTTTTAATGTACAGATTCGGCTTCGTTACAATTTTATTCACGGAAGTATGAGAACTCTCGATTCCCAGAGCGCATAATATGAAGAGATTGATGATAGCGTCGTGGTTGTAGCGCTTGGCGCCATGTTTGAAGCAAAACAGAAATTAAATAAAAAATTTTTTTTAATATTTCATCTATCTATGCTGTTTTAATTATCTATACAATTTTAAATAAAACTATCTTTTCGGGTTATTTCCCGGATTTATTTTGATTTTTGGTTCCCGACGCGAAGTTTCGAAAGCTTTACAGCAATCATGGTCACAGGACACACTTAGGGTTTAGACGTCTTTTTAGCTTTTAGACTCTCAAAGGCATTATAAGTACCCCCTACTTTGAGACATCTATAACCTTAGTCTCTCCCGTCACCATGATTGCTGTAAAACATTCGAAACGTCGAGAACCAAAAATCAAAATAAATCCACGAAATAATCCGAAAAGATAGTTTTATTTACAATGTCAAATATTCGCGTAAATCTATGAAAGTATTATATCTATACTATTTTTAACAATCTTAATTCAAAACAACCATACCGTAGAATTAGATCATTGTTCATTAACCTCCTTTCTTCATGTAGTTGAGTAAAAATTTGTGAGTCGAGCTCATTAAAGCTTGTTTACAGCAACAAATATTACGTGAACTAATACGCCATGAGTGCGTATTTACTTACTATTTAGCTTTAGAGTTTAGACCAGATTAAGACTAGATTATTTAGTTTTAGCTCTAAATTAATAAAACAGAATATGATAGAAACGACGCTACATAGAGCACCTCTTTTCAGCAGAATACAGCATGTAATGTATGGGTACTCAGCAGCACGATTATAAAATGCTTTGTTTAGCACGCCATTTCAAAATAGACTTTAATGCAAGATCAGTAAGTTTATTTTATAAAATCTATGTTTTCCAGTATTATATTGCTTGTGTAGTTTAGGTAAAAATTTTATCTATAGCTATATATATATAGAGTTCTATTCTCAGTGAACGTTTGCTAAGTGATAAAAACAGTTTTCACGGAGTTGCGAGCGATCGCACTAGACGCAGCCGCTCCCCTCCCCGCGCCCCGCGCCGCGAGCCCCGCCCGCGCCCCCCGCACGCCCCGCGCGTGTCGCGCTTTCATAGAATATACAAACAAGTAAACGATATTTATATCTGCTTTGATGGAAAATTGGATATGTCTCTGAAAATCTTTAAAAAAGATAATTTTAACTTATTTTTTATTACTATTCTTTTATTTTAACTATAAATATGGTTTCCAGGAACAGATTAAGCATTAATGCATTATTAGTCCTAACGACATTAAAGTTTTATGTAAGTTCATCGAGACGTTTTTATTGCAATAACTAGCGGCTCACCCTCGCTTCGCTCGGGTTCGTGGTTAGGTATGTTTCAAATAGGTATAAATAGTTATTAGCCAGCGTTAGCCATATAATTTTTTTTTCGTTAATTTTTCATTTTTCTTTATTAAAACCTTCCGTGGACCTTAAGGAACGTACGAACATTTTTTTTGCCGAATTGGTCCAGCCATTCTTGAGTTATGCGTTTACGAACATTCATTTTTATTTATTTAAAAAATAAGATTTCCAATTTGTAACTAGCAATTTTCTGATAAGAAATTAATAATAATTATTATTATCGTCTATCTAAATATCTATCGCCATATTGTAATTTACAACTTAATATAATATAATGTTTAATAGTTTATTTATATTATTGTAAGCTTTATTACCAATTGGATTTTGAATGTTATATTTTCTAACTAAAGATAATTCTTATAAGAAATTGGCGTGTCGAGAGAGGTTCGCACGCCTCATCTTTGATACAGGCAGAGCGCGGCTCGCGCCGCCATTCTGGATATTTTGACGGGAAGGTCGGTCACGTGACGCGGTGGCGCGGCGGGGCGCGCGGGGGGCGCCGGCTAGACTCTCCAGTAGCCGCGCCGGCCGTCTGCCGCTCCACTGCGCGCCGGAACACTCGCCCTCCGCGCCCGCACACGCGACCCGCCGGCGAGCGACGCGGACGTTCCACGCGCGACCTTTTGCTTCTCGAGTCGAGGGCGGCCAACGCGCGGCCGCGGCGACTGCGACACGACACGGGCGGGCCCCGTCGGACCGCCTGGGCCTCGGTGGCGTATTTTTGCACGGTTTCGCTCGCGGTTCGCGGCCCGCGCGGCTTGTGCGCTGCGCGGCGACGGGGCGAAGGCGGGCGGGGGGCGACGCGGCGGCAGACATGGCCGGGCCGCCGGGGCGCGCGCCCGCCGGCCGCTAGTCGCGCCACGGCCGGCAGCGCGACGACCATGGACGTGGTCACCCCGCACATCACCTCGGTGTTGAGGACGTACCAGGCGAGCGCACCGCGCAGCCTGCAGGGCCCGGGCGGTGCGCCACCGGCCCGCACGCCCGCGCCTAGCGCGCCGCGCACTACCCACGCCCACGCGCCGCCCATCCTGCTGACCGCGGACCCGGTGCTGGGCGAGCGCGGAGAGACTGCCCTGGAGGGTGAACGTATTTCGTGCTTCAGCGTGGGCGGTGAGCGGCGGCTATGCCTGCCGCAGATCCTGACGTCGGTGCTGACGGACTTCAGCCTGGAGCAGATCAACCGCGTGTGCGACGAGTTGCAGATCTATTGTTCGCGATGCACGCCCGAGCAGCTGCACGAGCTGAAGGCGACGGGTGTGCTGCCGCGCTCGGCGCCATCGTGCGGGCTGATCACGCAGACGGACGCAGAGCGGCTGTGCGCGGCGCTGCTGCACGCGCCGGCGGGCGGTCGGCGCGCGCTGGCCGGCTTCCGTGTATACCACGAGTGCTTCGGGGGCGCGCGCGGCGTGTGCGCGGCGGGGCTGGCGCTCGTGCAGTGCGTGGAGTGCCGCGGTGTGTTCGCACCGCGCCGCTTCGTGTGCCACTCGCACGGCACGGAGCACCGCACCTGCCACTGGGGCTTCGACTCGGCGCGCTGGCGGCGCTTCCTGCTGGTGGCCGAGGACGAGCGCGAGCGCGACAAGTGCGCCGCGCTGCTCGACGACCTGGACGCCGCCACCGCCCAGCACACACCCCACTCGCCAGCCACACCTGCCACCGCGCTCGTCAAGAATCAGATACCGCTCAAGAGAAAACAGGTAAGTCTATCATTAACATACTATCTACACCACTGTTGTGCTGCAATCGCCTAGCTTATTCCACAAATCCATTCATATTGTCTGTAGGAAATAGTACTTCATATAGTCTAGTTACGTTTGTTTTAAAAGTAGAGTAAGAAAGGCGCATTGGTTCGATTGTTTTGATAGTGCCTATTTAACTCTAACCTTTAGTGTGACCTTTATTTACTGTTGCTAAACTAGATTTATAAACCATTGCGTGACGGCGTACGCTAAACACTACGGTGTAATAGCTGCCGCGTATCAATTTTCCATTCAAAAGATTAGCTTTACAACTGCGTAACATGAGGTTAGCAAAAAATGTAGAGTTCAAAACAAAATGAGTATTTTATCTGATGAGCTTTATATTTTAAATAAAACTTTTGAAATTTTTCTTGTATGTATATATATAAAACTTTAAAAATATATATAAGTAATAAAACTTTTGAATTATTTTAATTTTTGCTGTAATGCTGTACAGCGATCATGGTCACGGTAGAGTCACTCCCCGAAAAGATCTAAAATCGAAAACGTAGCTTTATTTAAAATGTCTAATATTCGCGTAAATCTAAGAAAGTATAATGTATTTATAGTTAAGATTATATTATCTATGTAAATTTAATCTACAGTATAATGTCTAATAGAAATCAGTCAACTCTTATAGCATTCTAATTAGTCATATAAGTATGAAATATTATTATCACTTTCTTACTCCTTTTTTGATCCAAATAAGGCATGTTACGTTTAGATTTCCAAGTTATATAACTTCGCCACTTACTTCTTTCAGATGCGTCAATACAGTAGGAAATGTATTAACTAATAATCTTACTCTATTACTACTTTTGCTTATAGGAAGCTATTATTTTTAATTTTTACCTAAATCACAAAAATTATCTCTAATAAAATGTTATAAGCAAGAATTGGGAATCGACATTAGGAACTAATTATTCTTGAAATCTGATCTTGAGTCTTTCTGTATATTAAGTCTCAGTAACAGCCCGGAGTTGGGAAGTTGGCGGTGTTTCACCCCCGTGCGTCGGAGAGCACGTAAAGCCGTCGGTCCTGCGCCTTAACTCTCACTGGTCGTGTCGAGCAGCTGTTCCACCGGAGTATGAGAGTGATAGGAATAGAGAGTGCACTTGTGTCTGCGCGTACACTTGAGCACTATAATATCTCCTGCGCAGTTGGCTAGTCTCAATGAGATTGGCTGCCGTAGCCGGAATCGGCTAGGAGAACATCATTCTTGAAATATTAAAATTTACAAAAAGTTAAATGTTAATATTAGTGTTAGTATAGTCGGTTGTACGAATTTGACTAAACACCTGGAACGTAAATTTATCTTAGTACATATACCATAAATAATTAAAAATTTGCATTATAATATGCGAATACTTGATATTATAAGTGAAACTATCTTTTCAGATTTCTGTGCGGATTTATTTTGATTTTTTTGTTTCTCCCGTGACCATGATTGCTGTAAAGCATTCGAAGCGTCAGAATAAAAAATCTAAATGAATCCGCAAAAGAATTCGATAAGATTGTATTATTAATTTTCTACTTTAAACGTGATTTATTCAATTACATAATGAGTATGTATATTTTGATTTCGTTGAAGTTGCCCCTTCTTTTTCTTGGCTTTTAAATTATGCTTATAGGACTATTAGCGTTCTAAGTCTAATCTAAGTCCCTACAGCCATGATTGTGATCTAAGTTGATTTTTTTTAATCGGTTAAATCGTTTTACTACCTTGCACCTGCCTTATTGCCAAAACATATGTGATTTATTTGCGGATGTCTACGGCAGTTTGAATATTCAATGATTTTTACTACTTAGTAATATAAATGTATGACAATTTTCGATGTTCATTAAATATATTTATGATACTATTGACTCATCCTCGTTTTACATCAGGTTCGTCCTTGGACAAAAACAAATCTATCCTACGGGAAGCGTAAATTTTTCTAGGATAAAAATTGCCTATGTGCTGCTCTAGACTATCTCTGCGCTAAATTTCATTCAGATCCGTTCAGCCGTTCTGGCGTGTAAGAGTTACAAACATCCATCCATTCGTCTTCACAAACTTTCACATTTATAATATTAGTAGGGATACTTAATAATGAAATGATTTTTCGCCCAGTAAACTATGATAATTTTAAAATAGTAAGTATACTAAGCATTTTTTCCACACTTAGGGGTAGAATTGTTTTTTTTTTCAATATATATGGGAACACCTTTGAGGTGTATCCTATACCAATACATTAGTTAAAAAATAAAAATACAGGTGAATTGACTCTTTTCAAGTCGACCAAAAAACACGTCAAATCGTGTCGTATTGCTGCTTATAAGAAGGACAAATGAGCAAAATAACAAACATATATTTGCATTAATTATATTACAAAAAGTACATCGAAAAACTAATAAATTGGTTTAAAAAAATAATAACACGTATATTTTCGGATTGCTAATTAATTGTGTCAATTAAACGCCGGCCTTGAATAACCTATTAGCGTATATTCGTCGCCGGTTTGATTAAACCGATCAATATAAATCTAGAATAGTATACAGCGTTTCTTTAACGTCCCACAGCTGGGCACGGGCCTTGCTTTACTACAAGGGGATCAAGACAGTTTACCACGTTGGCCAAGTGCGAAATGGCGGACTTTACATGTTGTTTTATTATTTGCTAGGTTCTGTCAAACATGCAGGTTGGTTCACTAATATCATTATATGTAGAATACTGTCCAAAATACACGTATTTAAGAGAAAACTATAAAGTTACATAAGACGTATTAATAAGCTGACAATAATCTCATTAGGTGGCCACAACAATGTTTGTAAAATCGTTAAAATACAGGGTAGATGGCTAGGTTATATCTTTTTTACCTTTTATCTTTAATAATGGAAAATTTTAAGCGTTTATTGATGATTATAATTTAAATACAAGTATCTCTGCTGTAGAGTCAAATAGCTTACATCCAAGTCAACTTTTCGCAAAGATAATGAATGACAAATATGTTCAAAAGTATAAGTATGTAGTTACAGACATACATTATAAAAAAAATAATGAAGAATGACACGTTCATATTTTTAAATATGTGCATAAGACAGTATTAGGAATATCTAGAACATAGAATCCAACGAGTATAGTATAGTCCGCAATACCTTCTAAAATTGTGAAGCTATTTCACTACTTAATTATTTATTCAATTGAATTGAATAGCCTTCGAGGGTGATCACATTAAAATTTCAAGAAAAAATCCACGATTAACGGCGAAGTAATTACTTTTAGGTCGTAAAAGTCACTTACACGCAGGTAGAAATAGTATTACGATATAATTTTAAATAAAACCTATCTTTTCGGATTTTTTTGCGGAATTATTTTCATTTTCCCGAGCCACGTTTCGAATTCTTCTTAACAATCATAGTTACGCGAGAGACTAAGGTTTTAGACGTCTCACAGTTATAGACAGTACTTGTTATAGACAGTATCTACCCATAATTTTACAAAATAATTTCAAAAATTCCGTATCTCAAAGCCCTAAAAATTTCTATAAAAAAAGTAAAACCCTTGTTTCATTAAACATTGATAAAGTATAGTTTTTGCTTGTACCTACGTTATAAAGCGAATTAAAATAAATTTGCAAACTTGATAAGTGCGAATTGTGTTTTTTGTTATCTTATGGTTTATAAAATAAATCATTAAAAACCGGTCAAGTGTGAGTTTTTTTAAAGTGAAAGATTTTCAAATATTAATTTAGATTTAACTTACCATTGTAGATACTGTAATCCTATTTCTAACTGCGTGTAAGTGACTTTTACAAAGTAATTACGAGTACTTCGCCGTAAGTGGTGTTTTTTTTTTTGAAATTTTAATGCAATCAAAGGGTAATCGCAATCAAAGGCTATTCCAGCTTGTACCTACGTTATAAAGCGAATTAAAATAAATTTGCAAACTTGATAAGTGCGAATTGTGTTTTTTGTTATCTTATGGTTTATAAAATAAATCATTAAAAACCGGTCAAGTGTGAGTTTTTTTAAAGTGAAAGATTTTCAAATATTAATTTAGATTTAACTTACCATTGTAGATACTGTAATCCTATTTCTAACTGCGTGTAAGTGACTTTTACAAAGTAATTACGAGTACTTCGCCGTAAGTGGTGTTTTTTTTTTTGAAATTTTAATGCAATCAAAGGGTAATCGCAATCAAAGGCTATTCCAATTCGATTAAATAAATAAGTAGTGAAATAAGTTCACGATCTTATGCAGTCGGAGACATACACAGTTGTGTATTTCTCCGACTGCATAATACTATGTACTTTCGTTAACGTGTTTTCATTTTTTTAGTTAGCTTTTGTGCAGTTGGGTTTTTTAATTTTATAATATATTTTTATATTTACAGCTTTTTAGTTTTTTTTTAATTAGACATTTGAAGTAGTATTTGGCTATTTTTTATCCTAATTTACTTTGAAACATCTAAATTGTATATATTTTTGTAATCGCCTCCCAAAACCTTTATTTTGATACCCCACTCGATGGGTTTGGAATTTTTTTTTTAAAGATACACAAATTGTGTGGCTGAAACCCGCCATTTTAATTTTTAACTATGATTATAAAGCCTATGACACTCGTGTTATTTAGACAAATCTATCGTATGAATTATCAAAATCAGACCACGAGTTTGGTCGACACATAAGAACAAACATACATACATACATAGACTGATAATGATAAACTCATTACCCTCCTTTGCGCAGTTGGGTAAAAAGAAAAACGGACCTTAAATAACGCTAAAAGATTTTTTATTAACACAAACAAACAAAACAAGTGAAATCTGCTTCACACAAGCAAGTATTTAAACGATGCGTGTCCATTATTTTATAGCACAGCCTTATCGAAATCTTCATGCATATGAACGCATAGATCGGCGCACGCAAATTACTGCACGTGGGTGTCTATCGATCTGCGTAATTATGTCTGAGCCT